TCGCTTGCAACTTTACAAAGCGCAAGTTCGGCCCCACATGGAATACTGTTCTCATCTCTGGGCCGGGGCACCCCAGTGCCAGCTCCTTCCACTTGACCGCATCCAGCGCAGAGCGGTTCGAATCGTCGACGACCGAGTTCTTTCTGATCGGCTCGATATACTGGCACTGCGTAGAGATGTTGCATCTCTTTGCGTATTTTATCGCATCTATCACGGGGAGTGCTCTGAGGAATTGTTCGGATTAATTCCAGCCGCTCAATTTCACCATCGCACATCGCGACAAAACTCGCGTTACCATCCATACAATCTGGATGATTGGCGGTCCACCACTGTGCGATTTAGAAGAAGTTTTCTCCCTCGCACAACTTCCTTGTGGAATCAATTACCACCAGTGAATTTTCCGGACCGATACGACTTAGGAACCTTCAAGAAAAGAGCTTACACCTTTCTAAAAGGCCGGCAACGCATCTGCAATTCCCCTGGTGTTGCGGTTGTTCATGGGCGGCGGTAGTCACTTACCATCAGGTGAGCCGCATGCTCGTTTACCCCCTCTTCTATAAAAAAAATATATATATGTACGTTGTCATCCTTGAGTACTAAGATATAATGCGTGGTTACAATTACAAACAATTTATTGCAAAAAGAAAATGTTTACCGAATGATTGAACAAAATAAGGAAAGGAGTCAATTGCTGAACAAAGATCTCCCCTATAGATTACCTCATATGGGTGATGGCATAGTAGCCACTGTTGGCAACTGCTGTTTTGAATTTTTACTTATTGAAGAGAGGACGTTGGGTAGTTGATACCCTTACACCGCCACTACAAAAATAAAAATGTATAAATTTAATAATTTATGCCTAATTTTATTCACTAAATGTTTTCCAAAAGGTGTTATAAACTACTATACTCCACCGTATCAACAAAAGTATCGCCGAGAAAACTCAAAATTATATAAAATCAATTGCTGTCCGTAATCTCGCTAAAACTTTTTTAACAGTGATAGAGCCACGCAGCAACTTTTGCTGTCGCACGGATGGGCCGGCTCGAACCGGGGTGGTACCACGACCTCACAGAATACCAGCGTGAAGTAGAGGTTTACCTCTGCGTTTCGCTTGGTGAGTGCAGGTGGCCGGAGGCCCTTTTTACTGGAAATGAGGCATTCCATCTTAGTCCTCACGGGTGACAACGCATCTGCATTTTGATTTGTAATAGAGGATAGATGTAGATGTCTATGGGCCGCAGCAACCACTTACCATCTGGTGGACTGTGTGCTCATTTGTCACCCTTATCCTATAAAATAAAAAATAAAAATAAACTTCTTTTAACTATTATTTATGCTGTGCTAAAACTCGAAAATAGCTCGACCGATTGTGATGATATTTTTTGTGTGTATTTAAGTGGGTCTCTGGATGATTTAGATTCATAGTTGCACCCAGTAGGTGGCGCTGTTGTCGAGATCCAGAATTCACCCGTGCGAAGCCGGGGCGGATCGCTAGTTTGTAATAAATAATGAATATAAACAATAATCAATTATTTATTTACTTCTAACTGGAAAACTAACAGTTATTACATAAAATACATAAACTCTCACGCCTGTCACAAAAAAGGATAGGCAGTATCTACGGATTTTCATTTGGCACAATTCTAACACACCCCTCCCGCATCTTTTACCTTCACCATATATTCCACGCATGCAAACTCGTCGGTTAAGGGTAAACTTAATTTAAACCGTCTTCAATATATTGCCAATTTGGTCAAAAAAACTTAAGTTTTCGTCTGTGGTTTTCGTCTAAGGCGTCCCTTGCCGATTCTGCCACTCAGTTCTGCAGCATAAATTTGCTTTGTCACTCTTTCACCATTCATCCTTTTTAGGTGTCCAAACCATTGAATCATTTCTTTCTTTTTTCCTGCATTCTTAATTTTAATAGCTATTAATCAATATACAGTACATATCTGTACATAATTATGTTAGTTACAAAATAAGCTCATTAGATGTTTTTACAAATGGGAAAGGTTTAAATTTATGGAAAATACATTGTCATTGTTTTATTTCCCACGCATTTCTTTATTGTCTTATATATGTCGGAGATTCAACAGAAGATCCCAATTTTGATCTCGGAAATATATCAGGATAGCATTAATTGTTAAAAATAATTTATTTAACAAATAAATTAATAAATAATATTGAATATAACAAAATAAAAGTGTGATAGCGGATATTCAACTTCCTCTCTTGCTTACGCAATTAATCATTATCAGTACTAAGACAGCGTAACGCAAATTAAAGTACGCAAAAAAAGTAATTACAGTTCGACCATACCATAACACGTTCCCGCCACAATCACACACCAGTGTAACGTAAGGTACGTGACTACATGATAACACCAAAGTATGCAAACCAACAGCAACACTACTTATCTCAGTGTAACACAGGGCAGCCTCTCAGCAACACCAATCCTCCTTGCCTGTCCTAGAAGAATTACAACAACGAACAGAACGACAATATCTTAGCACTAGTAGAATGACTACACTCGTAAAATGATTTAAGCGGAATCTCCCGCACGGCGCATACAGTGAACTTTATACTGCACAAACAAGTGGGGATTTCTCGATATACCCTCAATTCCACCTCAATCTAACCGGTATTTTATAGAAGCTCCGATACGACCATCCTGACGTACGACCGTGAATAAATATTTTAAAATAAAAACAACCTTTTTATAGGATAAGAGTGACAAACGAGCACACAGTCCACCTGATGGTAAGTGGTTGCTGTGGCCCATAGACATCTACATCTTCTACTATCTTCGATTACGAATCAAAATGCAGATGCGTTGTCATCCGTGAGGACTAAGATGGAATGCCTCGTTTCCAGTAAAGAGGGTCTCCGGTTCTCTACACTCACCATACGAAAGAGCAGCGTTAAGCTGCTATTTTACGCTGGTATTCTGTGAGAACGTGGTCCTTCCCCGGTCGAGCCGACCCATTCGTGCTACAACCATAATATAGGTCCAGCATGGCTCTACCACGTATGTTAATTTGTAATTCTCCAATGAACGAGAAAAGAAGCAAAAGTATCCGTGAAAAAGGTAACGAACTCACCCAGAAACTAGAATTCACTTTTTTATATTTGCATAGAATCGACCTTGCTTTAAGTAATTTTATTTTAATAAACTTTATTTTAACTTTGCCTAAGTTTGCAAACGCGAACGAACAAATATAGATACGCATATACAGATTACAGACGCACCAAAACACGTGCGGCGACCGCATGCCCCTACAACCACACATCTGATTTGCCGAGACGCATGTTATGAATTCAAATCCCAACTTGAGGTAACATTTTCTCAAAACACAACTTAATGATTTTCTGCTTTAACTGGCATCGTATCTCTGACACTTGAGCGATAGGATTTAAAGAAGGATGAACTACAGGAGTGTTGGTACTAAGAGGAGTGTTGGTAGAACAATGCGCCTTTTGCCCTATACTCTACATCACTGGTGGAGTCACACCACTTTAAAGATGAATGTTAGTATTACTCCAGAGCCAAAACGTGATGGTCTGCGAAGCCATAGACCAGACCACCGGGAACGATCAAGATTGGTGCTCCCTTGTACAATCAATAGTAACCAGGTTTCTATTTCTGTTTTATCCTCTTCAACTTTCTACCTTTTTTATGGCATATACAACATATATAATCATTGATTTAGCTATGGAATATAAAAGCTGTAATCGCGAAATAAATTTGATTGTCAATTTTCTGATCTGGAACATCAATGTTTTTGACGAATTATGTTGTTTTGAAATAATTTTATGTTCTTAAAATAAATATAAGTTAAATGGTAGCAGTTATACATAACCATTAACTAAAAAAATCGGTAGTATTTAGTTATAACACCACCAACCCCATGCAGCAGACACAGGACGAAATAGTGATAAGAAACAGGCTGTAGGATTTGGGGTTCGGTATGAATATATCGCCAGAACCTCATTAGAAAATAAGCAGCGTGCACCACATACATATGTGGTTTGAATACAAAGAACACTTGTTATATCTCTATCACACCCCTTAATTTATTAGATACGGTACAGTTTTACATATTTTATTTGCTGAGTACAGAAAAGAACATTGTTTAAATGCCGAGAGCTTGTCAATTCCTTACTGTTAAAATGTACTCTCAGTGATCCCACTGAGAGTACATTTTAACAGTAAGGACAACAAATAAAATATACAAATTCTACAATCATTATACATTTTATTTTATCTAGATAAGTATTTACAATGATCTGTCTTTAAAACCGTTTCTCCTTTCACAATCTTCTTCCTTTACACATTCCAAATTTATTCTATAGCTGGGTAATAATTTCATTTAAAAGTGGTTATGTTTTGACATTCATATTGGGAGGTTGATAACACTGTTACGCTTAATCTAAATACATAAAATAAATAACTTCAAATAATAATGTACAAGTACAGTTGGTAGCTTTAAATTTGTCTACTTAGTTCAATAAATAGCAAAGGAATGTGCTATCAACTGTGCGGGGTGAATTTCTGAAGTATTTTCATCGTAAAAATGATTGCAGAAAAGCATTTTTACTATGCTTACTAAAAAACAACTCATTCTCACTGAGCGTTTCAAACATGTTAAATTTCGAATTTAGATACAGAACAGACTTTAGAACTTTCAACGCTCAGACTCAAGAAATCATAAAGATAATTTATTTCTAACAGCACACTAATACTATAATAATTATTATAAATATACGATAAACCTTATAAAAATTCTGATAAAGGATTAAAGTACAATCAATTGTCAACTTTAAAAAAATTACCTTGGCCATTTAACTCACTTTTTTTAATTATTATTATTTAAAAACAGACAATAATCAACCAAAATGCCTTTTACAACTGCGTTGAGTTTGGTTTGACATGATGTAATAAAAATGATTAATTTTAAAGTGAAGCATTAGTGTGTGGAACTAAATTCCTATACAGTCTAGTATGTCGACTGCTTTTGTTTGAGAACGGCTTGTACACATTTAGCCATAGTTGGTGAAGCGCGACTGATGGCGTCCGTCATGAAATAGTCCTCGAGAGTCTTCAGTTTGACATCTAGATTACCGGAGACTGGCTTTTGAAGGCTCTGTTGAAGAAAGCGTAATGATATAAAATATGCAGTGAACGTATTTCTTATAATACAAATCAACCCAAATGGTAACTAATGGTACTGCAGCCCATGAACACCCACCACCAATTTAGTAGACCACAGACACACATATTGACTAAAAAGAAATGACTCCTTTGTAATTATGCTGGCTCTTTCACCCTTCTAACCAGAATACAATAGTGGATACATTGATACTTGGCGTCAGCATAAATAGCTAAGTATATATGGGGCGGTACCAAGTAGTCTTAGGCCCGTATTAATAAACGTTACTCAGCTCAAATACACGCACTTGAGTACAATCTTGAGGTTATGATCAGGCTGGTGCAACTTCCATTACTTCCATAGTAAAAATTATATGTACTATAGAGGTCAAATTTTAATGACGGTCATCTCTTCTTTCTGCTTTTCGTAATATGTCTATTAACGACATTGTCAAATTAAATAGGTTGAAATATCAATTCAAACAATTATACGAGTACTTGTATATATTTTATTTATTAAGATTGCTCTTAATTTTCCTATAGGAGCCGTTGTTCATTTACAGAATTATCAAAAAATTAAATATGCATTTTAAAATTTTCCAAGTAAATGGTGCAAGAAGCGGAAAAAATTATAACAAGAAAAGGCTATTCGTAGCAATACTCGTATTTCCCTTAGATGATGAAAGGTATGTGGTGAATTCAACTTTAATAGTAATATGATATTTAGAGCGAGTACATTTTTGGATTAGCCTTCTACGTAGGACAGGTTTTTAGTGAACGATTGTGTGCACAAATACAAACACACTATTTCCTAAATCTGATAGTTCGATGGTATGGCAATCCGAAACGAACTATACATACTTAGAAACTACACAGTCAATCGTGACTGCAAACATTTTATTTGTTCAATAAAAATGTGATTTAATTTATATTATTTTTTCAGATGCAAGCAATGGGTGAAATAGCTGGCACATGCACCAATTGAAACGATTCACATGTTAAAACATATTTGTGACAAACATTGCATTTGAACCCTACTAAAACGAACTGTTATTTCATCAGTGGACTTAATTTAAACTTCTACAATTATGTGTATGTTAATTAGGTTTCATTTACATGTAGCAAAATATAATGTCCCTCTAAAGTCACATTTTGGTAAGAATTCGATTATATAAATAAACTCAAAGTTATTTGTCATCATCATTACAGCCTTTCAAAGTCCACTGCTGAACATAGGCCTCACCCAAGGAATGCCACAAAGCACGATCCTGAGCCACCTGCATCCATCGACTTCCTGCATGTCTTACCAGGTCGTCACTCCATCCCGTGGGGGGTCGCCCTACACTTCGCCTACCGGTACAAGGCTGCCACTCGAGAACCTTTCTTCCCCATCGGTTGTCGGTTCTTCGAGCTATATGGCCGGCCCACTGCCACTTCAGCTTACTAATCCGTTGGGCTATATCGGTTACTCTGGTTCTACTGCGGATATCCTCATTCCTAAGTTTATCACGCAGAGAAACTCCGAGCATAGCCCTCTCGATAGCTCACTGAGCGACCTTGAGCTTCCTCAGTCATCGCTGGCAACACGCACTGGTTGTACAATTTCGTTTTAAGGTTTTGAGGTATCTGACGAGAAGATGTGTCGTAGCTTCCCGAACGCTGCCCAGCCGAGTTGAATCCGTCGATTGACCTCTCGGTCGAAGTTGGACTTACTTAGTCGGACTAGTTTGTCCCAAGTAAACATACTCGTCAACAACTTCGAGCTTAGTACTCCCAACAACTACCGGCAAAGGTGTGACATGGACATTAAACATAATCTTTGTTTTGTCCATGTTCATCTTAAGACCTATCCGTTGGGAGACACTATTGAGGTCATTGAGCATAGTGCTTAGGTCCTCCAGCGATTTTGCCATAAGGACTATATCGTCGGCAAATCGAAGGTGAGTGATGTACTCGCCATTGATGTTAATACCGTATCCTTTCCAGTCCAGAAGCTTGAAAACGTCTTCCAATGCAGCGGTGAAGAGTTTCCGAGATATAACATCACCCTGTCTTACACCTCTCTGCAATTGGATAGGTTTTGTACTCTGGTTCTGTACTCGGATAGCCATCGTAGCTCTACTGTACAAACACTTCAGCACTTCGATATACCGACAGTCAACTTGGCACCGCTGAAGGGACTGCAGCACCGCCCAAATTTCGACGGAATCAAAGGCTTCCTCATAGTCCACATACGCCAGACATAGTGGCAAATTGTACTCTTCGGACTTCTGTACAATTTGCCGAAGGGTATGTATGTGGTCTATGGTGCTAAAGCCCTTTCGGAAACCGGCTTGTTCGGGAGGCTGGAAGTCGTCAAGTCTGCGCGCGAGACGATTCGTAATGACTCTCGAAAACAGCATGTAGACGCGGCTCAGAAGGGAAATCGGTCTGTAGTTCTTCAAGAGAGCGTTGTCACCTTTCTTGAAGAACAAGACTACCGCACTTCTGCTCCACGCCTCAGGTGTAATGCCACCATGGAGGACGGAATTAAAGAGCCTCTGAAGGACTTCAAGTACCGGTCTTCCAACCGCTTTCAGAAGCTCCGCTGTAAATCCATCCTCGCCTGGGGCCCTGCCGTTTTTAAGGTGCTGGAGAGCCATTCTAATCTCGCTCAGACTGACGTCCAGGATATCTTCGGAATAGTGTCGAAAAAGACTCGCTCTTGGATCGTTACTCACACTTGCGTGTGGCTCCAACGATGACGTGTACAGCTGCCCATAGAACCTCTCAATCTCACTCAAAATCTCAGGTGTCCCGGAAACGATGCTGCCACATTCGGTCTTCAGCGTTGACAGTTGGCTCTTTCTGGCACACAGATCTATGGCAAAGACTTTGGAGCCTTGGTTCCGCTCGATCGCTTCTTCAATACAAGCTGTATTGAAGTTACGTAAGTCCAGCCGCATGCATTTGAAGATCTGTCTGTTCAGTTGCCTGTATGCTGTCAAATCTGTTGAAGAATGTAGCTTCATCTCCCGTCTAACAGCCATGAGATTAAGAGTGTGATCGGAGAGTTTTTGTGTTCTTCTGCGGCGGGTCTTGCAGAAGTTAGCTCCGACCGCATGGACAGTTTCCACGACCTTGTCATTCATATCGTCCACTTCATTGCAGTCTTCTAGACACTGAAAACGGTTTTGTAACTCGAGCAGAAAGGTTTCGGGACTTTGGAACAGAGCACGAGGGGGACGGAGCGTTAACTTCATTAGACGAGACCTCTCCAACTTAACGTTTAGGTTCAGTGTGCCTCTAACCATTCGGTGATCGCTACCAGTTTTCACCCTCGCGATCACGGAGACATCACTGAACAGTCGTCGTCTGGTCGTCATAATGAAGTCAATCTCATTTTTTGTCGAACCGTCGGGGCTCGACCAGGTCCACTTCCTGTGGAGCCGCTTCTGGAAGAAAGAGTTCATCATAAAGAGTCCCTCTTTCTCCATGAAGTCGGCCAGCTGCTGGCCCCTTGGGTTCCGTTGCCCTGTTCCAAATTTCCTTAATTTCAGCTCACCGTTCCCTCTTGTGCCTAGTTTTGCATTGAAATCTCCCATTAACACCGTATATTGGGTTTTGGAGGAATGCATGGCTGTAGAGATATTCTCATACATTTCCTCCACCTCCTCATCGGGGTGTGCCGAGGTTGGTGCGTAAACCTGTATGACCTTCAGCGAATACCGTTTGGTGATTCTGAGTATAAGGTACGCAACCCTCGTCGACACACTCCCGATCTTTACAACGTTGTTAACGAGAGACTTGTGGACGATAAATCCGACACCTCCTTGGGACAGATGGTCGCCCTCCCGGTGATAGAGCAAGTTGCCGGATTCGAGGATTACCGTGTCCTCCCCTCTCTTCGGACTTCGGATAATCCTATAATATGCCAGCGTAACTTGTCTATCTCTTCTTCCAGCTCCAGCATCTTCCCGTCAGTCCTCAGGGTGCGTGCGTTGTACGTTGCCAGGTCGAGTCGTCTAAGGTGGCAACCGAACCTCCACCGGAGGTTCTTAGCACCCCCTTCCCCGCCGTTACCATGGTCGCCACTGTAGCCAGGAATAGCGGGGCCGCCGGGGACTGGGGGCCGTCTGTTTGTTGCTTTAATCATTGGGGGGTATTTGCCATAGTTGCCACGCTTGGCGTAATTTTGGCTATTATCAGGAAGATGCTGCTGCCTATCTCCTGCCTGTGTCCCTTTGTCGCCTTTTACGACAGCCACGGGAGGATATGGGGTAGTGGATATTCTTGACCGCCACTACACGGCACAAAGTTATTTGTACCAGGTTATAAATATTTTTTATAGATTCATCTACAAACATTAGCTATAATGAGCACTCATTTTGAAAGCGACAACTTACAAACGATCTCTGCGAATAGTATGCACATAGCTACCTCTGTGAAGAAGCCTAGCAATTTGTACATAATATTTGTTACACATAAAAGCAATTTAATCCAATCAGTATTAAAAACCTAATTTTTTTACCCTTTAAAAGAAACTATCGTTGAAAACAAGCATCCAGACGCAGACTATTTATTTTACAGCATAGCAACAATTGTTCAGTGTGGGAACCAAGCCTCGGTCCTGTTATGCCGCAGCCAAACGCTTAACCACTGCGCTACGGAGTCGTCATTTATTTTTACTACTTAATTAATTACTAGTATAATAGTGCGTTTTTATTTTATATTTTCTTTATACATATTTTTGTACCTAAATGATAGTGATTTAATTACAAATTGCTGTGTGTAAAATACATTGATTTCTTTTCCTCATCGGCATTTTACTCAATCCCCACGTTAAATAATTTATTTCTCATAAATAATACAGTACATATAGAGATCTAACTTGTATTATGTAAAAATATCGATAAACAATATATCGATAAAGGTAATATCGATAAAATTATTCAAGGATAGACATTGACAGCACTATTGTAATTCGTCAATATTGTCAACATTGATTGTCAAAACTAAATGTCATATCTTGATGTTGGTAGAATAGCTTGGCGTACTTTCATGCATTTACTTTTACTATGGAAGTCCCGCCTCTTAAACGTAGTGTTTATATTGTCTTTGGTTATGATCTTATTAATAAACATATCTCAAGGTTTAGGTTTACGATATCGGCTGAGTGCCATACTGATTAATAAACGAAACTCGACTCTCAAGTGTGTGTACTTGAGTGCAAATCACAGAACAGTATTTCTAAGTACAGCGTTTTGAGATACTGTTAATGTGTTATTAATTATCAACGATCTTGAGATGCTGATACCGTAATGAGGGCGTATCAAATGATTACGCACTTGAGTTCGTCATTGAGTAAAGTTTATTAATACGGGCCTTTCTTTCCGTCTGGATTCCTACATTGAAGTAATATGTACTACGTACTAGAAGACTATGACATATGACAACTAGACTTGAACTGCACTGTGTGCCTCTTGCCACGTGTCCCGCACTGCCGCACAGATTTTGTTCGCAGTATCTGTTCTAGTAAGTGGTACATATTAATTCAATAGATTCCGAAATAGATATGGGAAAGTGCTTCATTTGTATTAAGATGTACAAGTGCCATCCTATTAATAATACATTTTTAAGACTTCACATATTCTCGAAATACATATTTCTCAGAGATGCAGTTTCCTCGCGATATGTTTCTACACCGCCGAGCACGTGTTAAATCAGCAATTAACAATATCATTAGTGTCGACGAGGATCGAACTCGTTTTGTTAGCGTTCCGTGAAATGGAGTTTTATTTTTTTTTTTATTCCGGCGAATGCTTAACCCCTGTGCTACCACGCTGTATACTGTAGTGTTTATTCATTGTCTGTAAGTCATATCGTTCATAACTATGTCTACAATAACAATTATAATACAAACTAAAAATACAAACCTGTGCGAGCGCTCTGGCCTGTGCAAAGTAGTTGTTATTCTGCACGTCGCCGTAGGTGACAAGGGCTGGACTTATTTGGCTGAGACGGTCCCTCACTTCATCCAAATTGTCGTACGGTAGGCGTACACCCACCACTTCTGATATAGCCCTGTTAATTACAAATAGAATAAAATATGTTTAAATATTCTTTAATATAATACTAACCCTTTTTGTTTAATAAAAAATTTAAATTATGATGGACGGATTTTGCAAATTGTCTAAGACTTTGTTTTAAAAAATACATAATATACTTTAAGTATATTTTTACTAATGTTTACATCAATATCATAAAAAACGAATATCACCTCATTAAAGATTTTTTTCTTACAATAACTTCTTTATAACTCTTCATCATTTTAAGTAAGACTGGTGGTCGCTACCAACCTCAGGTGTTAACTTTACCTTACTTATACATTATATTTTATGGATACACCGTTCAATGAGGGCTAATAATGTTCTGCTCACCAGATGTCGCTAGTTAACACTGAGGTAAAGTTTTTGTTACACAGTGTAATTTAATTGAGAAGTTGGTTATTAATAAAAGTTTATCAGTTTCTAGAGTATTATATTAATGCACAAAACAATCCATCAATGGTTTGCTCTTTAATTTTTTGCACATCTTTAACTTTTTTTTAATTTTTCTACTTTTATGAATATCTGTGGTTTGGTTTATTTATTTTTAATCTTATTAAAATAAAATATAGCTAATAGTACAGAAAGAGACAATAAATTTTACATTTTCCGAACAAATTAACTTCCCCGCTATGAAATCTGTCAAATATACCTCACTTTCTAGTGGCGCCGCCCTGGTGGCTGAAAAGTCGTGGATGCCCTCATTAATAAGTAAATATATGTAAGAAGGTACCGTACCGGTAAGCGGAGTGTAGGGCAGCGCAGCTGCCCACTAGATGCAATGACGACCTAGTATGATATACCGTTACCGGTACAACTTATCGAAGTCCACTGCTAAACATAGACGGCCTCCCCGACAGATTGCCTCATAGGGGGCATAATTGCCACAGTTGCCAAGCTTGGCAAGCGGGTAGGCAACCCAATTTTTTAATTTTTAGTCGTTATTAGAAAGTCGCTGCTGCCCATCTCCTAGTTTGTTTCCCTCTGTCGCTTCTTACGACACTCACGAGACGACCTGGGATAGTCGATATTCTAACACTGCCACTACACAACTAGAGATGAACGGTATGATACCAATTATTATAATAAATATTCGGCGATATCGATATAGAAACCGATATTAACTTTACATATATTATACACTTTTCTATTTTTACCTTTTGTAATTTTTTAAAAGGGTTATTTTTCAAAGAATATCCAAATTTAAAATGTAAGTTCAAATATATAAAAAAATCATCTACCGTTATTGCAGTTTTTGAAAATACGAGTAGATAAGTCTTCTACTTTTAACCGACTTCAAAAAGGAGAAGGTACTCAATTCGACTGTATTTTTATGTGTGTTATCTCATAACTTTTTTCTGTTCTCATGTGGTCCCATATAAATTTGATCAAGGTCTGACCAGTAGTTTTTGAGTTATATTAAATACTTTATATTGAAGTCGGTTGTACAATTTTTTTTTAATTTTAACACTTGTATTTAAAAGTATTCCAAATTGAATGTAATTTATGGGCCACAACTACGCGTACGCGCGCTCTTTTGTGTGCGATTCAATTCACAAAGTTTTTGCCTACGGTTTACTTTCTTAGTGACACGCTCACTAGTTAATAACTACACGACGCGAATTACAATTCCAATTTTCTCTCACAATTTTATGGGCTTAGAATCATCATAATAAATAACATTAAAAAAATATGTTTGCTTATCAACGACGTAACCGATCATTGGCATTATTATAGCGTATTTAAAAAAATATAAAGAAAAGAACTAAATTACGCAAGTAGTTTCAATAACTAATATTGGTACCCCAAAATGGAATCAATTTCTCTCAATGCCTAGACGAGTACGTTTTCTTATAATTAATTTCCTGTGCTTGAGCACTCTTAACTTACGTGAATACAGCAATAATTTTGCTGTGACGGCTTTGTAACTTTGGGCCTCTTTGACGAAAGACGATTGTTTATTTGACCCCACAAATAAAAGTCTAACAGTCTGGACCGTTACAATTTTATTGCCTGCAAACTCGCTGTACCTTACAGGTACAGCGAGTTTGTAGACCATAGTACAGGTCTTTCATGCGTAATTCACCAATCTTCATATTCACTATTTAAATTATTGCTCACTGCACTATAGTTTGATTGGCTGTCAATTGTTCTTTGATTGGCAGGTACATTTCGTACATTATAGTCCGGCCGCTGAGTTATTACCGATTTGACACATGACGAATTGACAATACTAGTGAAGTGACTGAACCAGTAACCCTAATATCATTTGGGAACAGTTTGTTTTTAAATATTCTAGTATAGTGTGTAATTAAATAAAATCAAAACAATAATAGTTAAAGACAGGTTCTTTATTAGGTGGAGTATCCTTGATGGGCGTAGATAATTGGTCGAGGACATATCAAAATAAAACAAATTTGTAAACACTGTTACACATTTTAATGAATAGAGTAGGTACAAGATGTTTTAATACATGACTACCTATCATTTATTAAAACAATTATTCAGACTCTGAACCAGATTCGCCAGAGCTGTCATCGCTATCAGTCACTTGTATGACAATTTCATTCTCTATAATGGTGTTCACTCTTATATCGCGTTCATAATCTTCTGTTATTAGTTTTCGAGTCTTTTCGACGACCTTGACCCAATCTTCTTTCGTTATTTTGCTGCAAGCATCTTTTAATAGACCCATCATTTTATTAGTACTGAATGGCGGAGTCGTATTATTACGAGCTGCGTAACCTGTAATGTAAACATTAAATAACGTTAATTTATTAGATTAAATAAACGAAATGTTACACAATTACCTACATGTAAGGGACATAAGATATTTATTTCTTAGTTATGTATCTTTTTACTTATATGCTGAATATTGGATGTTATAATAGTACAAATTATTCATATTCATAACTTATGCGATAAAAAACAATACCTTTGATTTGTGCCCATATTAGCTCAATGGCATTGTACTGGCAGTGATAAGGCGGAATTCGAAGTACCCGATGTCCATGTGCTAGAGCTATCTCATCTACTTCATAACGGACTCTTGATGTTTTATTTTCGCGTACCAACTTTACTAAGTCAGACTTTAAGCATTTCGGCAGTAATTTCAATTCCATTTTGGTGTAGCCATGCTACGAGATCAGCTTTCTTGTCGGCCTGAGTAGGCGCTTTATTCACTTGTTTCGAGTGATATGAAGCGTTGTCCATTATTATGATAGAAGGCTCTGGCAGGCTGGGTAATAATTGATTTTCGAACCAATTCGTAAAAGTGTCTGTATCCATCTCCTCGTGGTAATCGGAAGTACTTTTTGACGCGAAAGCCAGCAGTCCATTTTCAAAGAAACCACTTCCAGCAGAACCGGCGTGACAAATTATCAGTCGCGATCCTTTTCCAATTGGAACCTTTGAGGTTGATGCTTTTGTTTCGTCAGTCCAACTGACGAAACGAAAGCGTGACACAGTGTGGTTCGCATTTAACCATGTTTCGTCTACAAAAACGACGCTGTCCTAAGACTCCATTTTTCTGGCTTCTCTTAAAACGTCGCTCCTTTTAATTATTAAATCAAATCTTTCCATTAATATTTTCCTTTTATTCGTTTTTTTATATTCAAACCCAATTTCGTGCAATAGTTTTGACAACGCCGTTTTACCGCCTTTAAACAAGCCAGCTTCTTGTAAAGAGACCAAAAGCAAACGTCTAGTTGGAAACTCGTTCCTAATATAATAACCATATATGTGGTTTCTTATTGCATCTGCATCAAAAACATCAACACCTGTCACGGACTTTTGTCTTCGTTTTTTCTTAGGAGTGCGTAAAACATTATCTTCACTTCCAGAAGCACCAAATTTTTCTTTATTTATATTATATAGTGTTTTTGCACCAATTCCAAGAGCTTGTGAAACCCGATCTTTCACTTGAGTGACAGGAATCAAAGGGCCGCCATTTTGTGACTCACGCTCAAAGTAATCCTGTAGCTTTAGTACAAGCTCACGACATTGACTATTCAATGTTTTTCCTCGTTTCGGCATTTTCAACAAAATTACCAAACACAAACAAAATTAGTCCAATAAAGCGCAACGATAAACAGGAGAAAGCCGAGTCAAAAAACAACGGTTACACAAGAGAACGTAGTCTGTGCGCACGAGAGTACGGAAGACGACTAAACAGATTAAAATAGCGGTGGTAAGGGTGTTGCCAGAATAGTATCGCCAATTACTTAAAAAAATACACCTATAACATTGCTTAATTGAGGGAGAAAATTATATTTATTAAATGTTGTTTTATATATTATGAATGTTAAAAATTATACATAATCATTTTAATTGTATTTATTTTTAAATCATAGAAAACAGTATTTCTGTCTTTGGATCACACATAAATCTTAAAAATCATAGAGATACTGGCAACACAGTGCAATTAGGAGACGCAAAAAAATGGTAGCATTATAGTCTCGCTGCTCGAAGGAATAAGTAAAATAAAAATATCCAAATAAAATAAATATCATATCTATTCCAATGAATTCGGACCGAATACTATCAAGCACATCACTATGAAAACTAGACGCACGATGTAACTTTGTACAAGCGCGCCAAAGAACAAAAAATAAATGTTTTAATATTATTTACAAAGTATTTTAAGTTTTGAAACAGAGTTTATTGGAAAATTACTGGATTCTGACATTTTGACATAAAGTTTTATATTAAAGAGGTATTCTAAATCATTCGGCAAATGTGTCGCTCGTGCAAGGTTATATCGATTAATTTAAGAATAATCTGTCAAATCGGTAATAACTCAGCGGCCGTACTATAATTTCTTGTCGCGGTAAAGACGTTCTTTGCCACGACGTAAACTTACATTGCTTAAAATGTAACACGTGCGGTTCGAATATTTTCGTTTCGTTATTGGTAACGAAGTAAGATAATTTACGAAAATTTAAAAATAGCACGTTTGTACGTATTACGTAATGAAGTTACGGTCTACACTGTCAGCTGTCGGTCGCCAGGGTGGACCTTGGTCCTAGCCACCTAGCGGTGTAACGGTTAACAGAAGAGAAGGGCGCGGGAAGACGCGCGACAAAATACATAAATTTGTAACCAACGACTCTTACGAATGTGTAGTATAATAGTAAGCGTTAGATATTTATGAATGACAATCAATATAATGCATTACCACACATTTGGAATTTACAGATAAAAAGAACAGAATGTTTGAGATTTATTATATAAATTTTTTTCACCATTCGTCTTATTACTTATTCTGAACCTATTCTATAAGTTTGGGCATATATTGAAAAATAACCTTATATTGGTATCTACTCGTATATCGATATCGCCGATGTACTCCAAAAATCGGTACCGTATCGGTAAAATTATGTATTATTACATACCTAGTTGTGTGTAATGACGATGATGATGATGATGGTGATATGAATGATATCATCATCATTATATGATATGATGATGATGATGACAGTGATGGTGGTGTTGTTGGTGGTGGTGTTGGTGGCGGTAGTGGTACCTGATGATCTTCCAGTCCTCGCGCGCCTGTCCGGGCGGGGTGACGGCGGGCAGCGTCTGCTGCGCGCGGCCCTCGGCGTTCACGTAGGTGGCGCGCTTCTCGGTGTAGGCGGCGCCCGGCAGCACCACGTCCGCGATCGCCGCGCCCGCGTCCCCGTGGTGCCCTGCACACACAACAATACCCCGCGCTGCAGCTATCTTCTCTCTTTGCTAATGGACTCGTACGATTGTACTTGTGCCAGTATCAAATTAATTATAAATTATCCTTTATAGGTTTATAATACTTCTTCACAATATATACGCTACAATGCGAAGATTTTAGAGATATTGACGGCAGCTTGAGCCAGCAAGCGGTTAATAGCGATAGTATCTAAAGGCGCCTAAAGAGACACACTATATTGAGGTTCTCATCACCATCGGAACACTTGTTTCACCGTTTCCACTAATCTATACAAATAAATAAAATTAAAGTGTCTGTTTGTAATGTCAAAATGACAGTTTTTTACTAAATGCATATGAAAGCAAATACGGTACTTATAACTAAAATACAATTTTTAAAATTTTTGTCTGTCTGTCTGTTTGTTCCGGCTAATCTCCGAAACGGCTGGACCGATTTTGACGGGGCTTTCACTGGCAGGTAGCCGATTTCATAAGGAGTAATTTAGGCTACCTTTATTTTAGAAAAAAAATTAGGGTTCCGCGCAAAAACATAATAACCCTAACACGCGAGCGAAGTCGCGGGGAACAGCTAGTAGTTTATATGTTCACATAATTCAAAATTAAAAATTTTGTACAGCCGACTTCAATATAAGCGACTTCAATATAGGTTATTTAAGAATAACTCAATAACCATTGGTCTGACCTTGATCAAATTCATATGGGACCACACGAGAACTATCAGCTTTCATATAAAAAAAGAATCATCGAAATCGATGCGCCCAGTACAAAGTTATGAGGTAACACACATAAAAAAAAAACACACAGTCGAATTGAGTACCATCTCCATGAAGGCGGCAGAAAATCGCACCACTTTTACATAGTTTGGACGTCTTTTAATTATTACTCCACGATACTTTATTTTTTAATTTTAAAATAGTATTAATTTAATTCGATACTAAAAATAGGAGTGCATAAACTGCCAGGAGCTTAGCTACAAGTAATCAGGTGACATACTACTGCGCCTTCGCATTAGCTGTTGTAGTGGTTGTGAGTGAATCACTGTGTGTGCTATCGTTTCTAAGAGAAAACAAGACGTCAGTTCGACACGACACCTCTCTGTCATCTACTGCGCGGTCTATCATAGTTGGACGGAAAAGAGTTTTTGTAAGAAATCGTCGATCGACGACCATTTTAGCTGACCCCTGCAGCGAGACTACTTCTGTAAACTACAGCAAACTTTTGGGAGCCTAGTACTTTGTGTTTGATTTAAAACTAAGCATGCCACTCAAGCGAACGCCGCCTCCCGCCTCACCGCCAGCGGAAAAAAACAAGAATAAGAATGTGAGCTGTACACCTATAAATATTTTCCCCAGCCTATCTACTGAAAAGCCTTCTTCAGAGCGTGATAATGTAACCCTAAGGAAAAAAGGTGTTATTGATTCTTCTAGTATGGAACTATTTATGGAGGAAATCAGGGAAATTAGAGAAATTATAGTTAAGTCTAACATTGTAAAACATCAGAGTACATTGACTTCTGTACAATCCTCTGTGAATGAAATACTATCCCAATATAAAGATATTAAAGAATCAATCGAGATGATATCTAAGCAATACGATAGTATGAAAATCAAATTTGATTCCCTCGAAAAGCAAAGAAAGGAAGACCGACTTTACATCGTTGAACTTGAAGGAAGAATAAGCTCTCTGGAGTCAACTATTGTGGCATCAAAGCTTGAGCTTAGAAATATCCCTGTGGGACCCAGTGAATCCAAAGAAAGTCTGTGCGACATTGTTTTAAAAACTGCTAAGGCCCTAGAAGTGCCTCTTCAACAGACAGAAATAAAAGACGTGTTCCGCATTAAAAACAAAACTGGTAACGGAAATATTATCGTCGACCTTGCAACTACCATAAAGAAAGAAAATTTCTTGAAAAAAGCGCGCAAATTTAATTAATAAAAATAGCTCAAATAAATTAAACACAACACATCTCGCACTGGATGGGCCACAGAAGCCGATATTTATTTCTGAACACTTAACGCAGAAAGCTAGGCGCCTCAACTACTTAGTCAGAACTTTTGCGCAGGAAAATGGATATAAGTTCTGCTGGACTTCATACGGACGTACATATCTACGTCAAGATGAGGGCAAACCACATATCAGAGTGGACTCTGAGTCAGATTTAGCTAAGCTGCTAGGCCAGAAATGACTGTATGAGATCTCCGGTAGAATTTTGGTTACTACTTACATTGATTTAATTTATCATCAAATATTTATTGATTATTTCTTTAATTATATATATAACATTGTATATATTTTACTAAACGGTACGACATACATTCTCATTACTATTTTAACCGTACTGTATATTTTTACAATACATGGTTTTTCTCGAACAATTTGTGGGATGGCTCTCAATAGCTATTATTTAAATCAGAACTATGGATGTGACAATGAATTTTTCCTCTTTAAAATGCCTGAATTACAGAATCAAATTCTATCTGATATTGATAATATTAGGGTGGCTTCATCTTTTGTGTGTGATGTTTTAAAATGCAATGATATTGTCAGGTTATGATGATGTTAATAAGCCTATTCCTCGGCTTCCAGGTTACAAATGTCATTTCTCAAAAAATGTTCAATCCAAAATGATGGTATAACAGTTTATTCTAAGCACTCAATTGATTGTATAATAACAGAACCTGATTCAAATGGTGGTAACTATCTTTTGATTAAAATAAATCCAGATATAGTAATATTAGCGGTATATAGATCACCCTCCTATTATTATATTGACAACTTTTTAGATTCTGTAGAAAAAAATTATTCGTCCCTTAAAATCTAGTAACATATTTATTATGGGCGATATCAATATAAATATTATTCAAGGCAATAAAGACAAAGACTGTGAGCCTTATTTAAATTTAACTGCAGGATTAGGTCTTTTACCAGGTCATACCTATCCCACTCGTATCAATAATTGTTTAGACCATGTTATGGTGAAAACAGTATTAAACACTCAAATAATGGTACTCGATAGTGTAATCACTGATCACTCCTTAATCTTAACAAATGTTTCTTTGAACTCCAAACGCAAGCCTAATAATATTTTCATTGATAAAATAAATCATGATGATGCCATCAAATCTATAGAGTCTGCTGATTTTTCTTTTATATCTTCAACTTCAAATGCAGATACGGCTGCCGAAAAATTTGTTGATTTACTAACTTCTGCCATAAAGAAAAATACTGTTAAAATTAAGATTCCTAGAGCGAAACTAACGCTTAAGGCCTGGATGACGCCTGGACTGATAAAGTGTATCCGTCACCGCGATAAACTTCACCAAAAACTGAAAAAGAACCCTGACAATTAAATACTTCAAATTTCTTATAAGCGTTATAGGAATTACTGCAATTCCTTGTTAAGTAAGCTCAAGCGCCAATATGGAAAAAGTCTTTTGGCAAATGCAAAAAACAGTAAAGAAACTTGGTCTGCAATCAAAGCCATCTCCGGGTGTGATACTAAAAATAATTACGCTGAAAATTTGATCATTAAAAATCCTACAGATTCAGTGGAGAGAGCTAATAACTATTTTTCAACTTTAGGTAGAAAATTAGCTGATAAAATTCTAGCAAACGGTGTTAAACCTGCTAATGTTAATACTATGCCCTGGTCGCTTAATTCATTTGTGCTCGATTCTCCTGACGAGTTAGAAGTTGAAACAATATTGATGGGTCTTAGAAATGATTGTGCTATTGGTTGGGATTCCATTCCTGCTGTCTTCCTTAAAATGACCAAGGATAAAATACTTCTGCCACTCACAACCCTTTTTAAAATCTGTTTTGAACAAGGATGCTTTCCAAAAGTTTTTAAAAGATCTCTCATTACTCCTGTTTACAAGAATCGGGCTCGGGACGTTGTTGAAAATTACAGGCCGATCTCTGTGCTACCTGCACTTTCAAAAATCTTAGAAAGGATGCTTAATAATCGTTTGGTTAAATTTCTAAACAAATATAATATCTTATCTAATATGCAGTTCGGATTCAGAGCGGGTGTTAGTACAGAAGATGCTGTTCGTAACTTGACCGAATTTGTAACAAATAAACTGGACCATAAACAGAAGTGTGTAGGGATTTTCCTAGATTTAGCCAAAGCTTTCGACACCGTTTCAATACCAATTCTTGTAAACAAACTAGAAAAAATTGAAATAAGAGATTCTGCCCTTTCTATTTTTAAGGATTTTCTATATGATCGTGTGCAGAGAGTAAAAATAAAAAAAAAATATTAGCTCAGATGCCTGTATCACGTTTGGAGTCCCTCAGGGCAGTATCCTGGGACCAAATCTCTTCCTGGTTTACATTAACGACCTGTGCTCAATGACACTAAGTCAAGGCAAGCTATTTACTTATGCTGATGATACAGCCTTAATTTTCTACGGAGAGACTTGGCCTGAGGTCCAGGAGTTTGCGATGAGGGGTCTTCAAACTGTGGCAAATTGGCTTGAGTAGAATCTACTGACTCTTAATATATCTAAGTCCACCTATATGCAGTTCCATATAACCAACACCCAAACTGTTAACGATATACAACTAACAGTACACTCTTGTGGTTCACAGTCAACAGATACTTGCCTTTGCCCTAAAATGATGAAATCCAAATCAATTAAATATCTCGGAGTAATTATAGACGAGAAACTAAGCTGGCTCCCACACATAGACCTTATTTCATCGCGCACTAGGATACTTATTTGGATATTTAAAAGGCTAAGGCACATCGCTGACTTTAATTTATTAAGAACTGTATACTACGCCTTAGCACAATCAATTATAGGTTATTGTATAGTTGCCTGGGGTGGAGCATGCAAAACATTTATGATAAAATTAGAAAGAGCTCAAAGATGTCTCCTAAAACTATGACTCTTAAACCGTTCAGGTATCCTACAAATCTGCTTTACCTTCCAATTCCACCTTACACACAGCATCACCTTATTGCGTGTCAATCCGGGTTTCGATACAGTCTGTGGGGCTTGACTACTCTTTGACCATGATCTTTTTCGCACGCTCTTGTCGTAGGTGATCCACTTTTCATCACCAGTGACCAATATTTTGAAAATTGTTCGGTTACATTACGTTTCAAAAAAGAGTCGCAAATGAGTACACAATTCATTAGGCTTCTTTCAATGATCTCGTGTGGCACCCAAATATGGAGCTTTTTGGTACAGTCAGACTTTTTTAAATGGGTCAAAATTGTTTTGTGGTCAATCCTCAATTTCTCGCCTATGTTGTAACTACTAATATGCTGATCTTGCTTCACTTTTTCAAATATGGCATCGACTTTATCCGTATAAGGGCAACCAGAGCGGTCCCAGTCTTTCTCAAAGTGGGCGATAACGCCCCCTTGTGGGCGTTGGAGACCTAGAGGGGGCGTTAAGGGGCCCAGAAAAAATGGGGGCGTTGGCGTGATTTAGGGGGGCGATGGTTCATTTGTTTAGATAGATTTAGATACTTTATTCTTGAGGCTTGAGTCGCATTTTTCCCTTTTTCTACCGACTTCAAAAAGGAGACGGTACTCAATTCAACTGTATGTTTTTTTTTGTTTTTTTTTTATGTGTGGTAACTCATAACTTTTTTAATAAATCTTCAGGATGTATCTAACTTCTTCGTTAGATTTAATCATTTTGGCGGACAGAAAAACAATTTAAAAAATGGCGGGAAAGTGTTTTTTATTTTTGTTTTTTCCTAATGTCCTATATGTATAAATATTAAAACCAGCCAGATACAAACAGTACAACCAAAGAGATTCTTCTTCAATTTACACAAACAAAATAACTTTTTCCTCCAACATTTTATAGTAAATTCTCAAACAAACCTCGGTTATCCACTATCCCATAGAGTCCCGTGGGTGTCATAAGAGGCGACAGAGGGAAACTAAAACAGAAGACATGCAACAGCATTATCCTGATAACTTATTTAGGAAACTGCGATTGCCAACCTATCTATAGGAGAGGTTCAGCAGTGGACTTTTATAAGCTGTAATGAAGCGAAAATTCTCAAACAAACCTTGGTAGATAACCACAGCATCTTTGGGCAAGGATTCGCGAGTGACCACGCCGCTATCGGCCCCCAGCAGGTACACGACCTGCGGGCCGGCCGACAGCAGCGCGCCCACGCCGGGCTTGTAGCCGATGTCCAGGGCGGCCACTTGCGATGCGGTTCGTTGGAGCACGTTCAGAACCTAGCGTTGAGAAATATTTGTGAAGTAGTAAAATAGCAGTCTACATAGACCAACATTACTAAGAGGATAATGGAGAAGGAAAGTCTGCATCGCTTCTTCAATTAGGAGTTCACATCTTTAAAATATGTAAATTTTTAAGATATTATTTATTATTTTCAGACAAACAATTATCCTCTCACAACCAAACACATTGTAAATCAGCACTTAAAATTCCATATACGATTTCAGTGGTGCCAGCAGGAAAAAGTACTATGGAAATAAAAATACAATATATAAATGCCGCGTTATCAGTAAAAGATATAGAGATACAGCGTGGTCTACCCCGGTCAAGCCGACAGATTCGTGATCCTGCTATGTAGGTCTTCGGTGTCACTCTACCACAAAGTAGCAATAATATATGATATAATGCTGTATTCGAAATCGGCAAAGAGAACATAACACTATGAAGAAACATTATAAAAATTTAGTATACACTTGTACCTTCCAGTTCTTGTCCTCAAGTTTGTCCTGCAAACGCAAGGCCAACTCCTGTGTGTACGCCAGCAAAGCAGCTCCCTCCTGTGTCTTGAGCTGGTCTGCTCCAAGGATAACAACGGGCCGCTTCGCTTGTTCCAGCTTGCGCAGCACTTCGTGAGCAGAAGTTCCCGATGCTAGATCCTTCACGATCGACGCTGACTCGCCTACATGCTAATAAAATTTAATACTTTAAAAAATGTTACTTTAACAAAATATATTTATTATGCGTATCTTGAATTTGATCATAAATTGAAGTGCATGCATATACATATTAGGCCTAGTACTACTTTGCCACTAGTCTGGGTAGTTTACTAATAAACTTTATCGGTCTTATCACAAAACATGATTTATTGAATCTCTGGTTTAAAGAAGAGTCTAGTTTAAACCTGAGATTAATTATAAACTTCTTTTGGTAATAAGACTGAGTATGAAGGCATACAGCACAAATTTATCTATTTCTTCCTCTCTTTCTCTTCCTTTTTTCTCTCCTCCTTCCTTTTTCTTTATCTATCCCTCTTTCTCTCTCTCCCTCCCTCTTTCTTATTATTCTCTATTAATGGTTTATCTTACAGAAGGCATTTAAAATAATGACGAACTATGTATAAAGATATATAATTTAAAAAAATAGTTAATATATAGAATAACCTAAGCGCTTCAATGGTTTAACTTACAAGAAAATGTGTCTTTCCCAATAAAACAAGATGTAGATGTGGTTAGAGTACTTTTAACGTACCCCAGTAAGGGCCATAATGATGGCTTTTCCTTGTTTCACTTGACACTACATCAAAACATTCGCATCACATTGAATTGAAGTAGGTTAAAACGTCGCAAACGACGTTACTTTTGACACTATATTACAGAACTCCCCAAACGTCGCAAACGACGTTCTTGGAGATGCGTTAGGCACAACTTGATTTTCATGCTATTAACTAACCACATAATCGTAGGTGAGGTCAACTTTAGGTCCAATTAGCGCGACATCGGTATCCTTGTGGATGAAAGCCTTCCTAATACGGGTGTTTAGGAGAGGCGCCTCGAAACGCACGTTCGTTCCGATAAGGAGCACAAAGTCAGCGTCCTCGACATCTGTAAAAGATTAATTTATCCCATTATCTTATACAATTACTTAGTTCACACTTACTATAATATAGTACATTACGATACAAGAGATAGTAGCTTAGACTATTGAACCGTGTGAAGTTAACGCAGCACTTTTGTCAGTATATTACAGAATTCCCCACTACCCGTCGTTACACCACAAGTGCAACGAGACTTGTGATTTACAAAACTTTAGTATGATACAGATGTTGGCTTTTATATAAATTATTTATCAAACGTGAATTCACAACGGTCATACTTTTTAGCAATAAATTCTAATGTGATGGTAAATGGTAATAATACTAATTGTGTTTTTATTAATTTTGCCTTAAAAAATACACTTCAAGCTAAAAATGTACAAGAAATTTAAATTACTTTAAGTCAAGCATTTGTTTTATATTTCTTGATCAAATGACTCAATGTTTTATTTGTAATTTAAAGTATTCTATAAGATGTTACTAATTAAAATTCTATTGTTCTGTATTTAGTATTATGTTTCAATAAATGTTTAAATTTTTTAAAACTTATATAATATTATAAATTTTATGTATGACTTAAGTAAAGACTTAAACTGTACTTGTACTATAAAAAATTATATATTATATATTTTGATTTAGCTATTTTTAGTAGTGCCTCAAAACATGATTTTCTTTTGTTACAATGTCATTCACTTGTACCCCCAAATAATTCCTATAGAACCGCACAACAAAAAGAGTTTCTTTTTCTTGTGCGTTTCCGACCGTTGGCTTTAGTGAAGTTAAATTAAGTCATGTCTGCGTTAACAAATTCAAGATGTTAGAGCACCTAAAAATCAATATCGGGTAAGTTATGGAATCAATAGTGGCAATACATTTTTTTTTTGTTAAATGATGTAATAAATTAACTAGTACTTAAATCAGTAGTAAAATATTACATTTCCTAATCTTTTATTTTTTTGTAACAAAAAATGAGGTAGCTAATATTGTACAATTCTTTATTTTATATTTTACAATAATATACTTACTTGCAATACCAGTGTTCAACAAATAGGTGGATCGCAAATCAATACCGGCGCCCTCTAGCGGGAAGTATTGCTCCGTGCAAGCGTTCTCAGAGCCAAGCCTATTGAGCAAATCTTTTAACGCCACCAATGATTCGGCGTCAGCCATATCGCCGGCAACCGCCAACAGCTAGAATCATAAATATTACAATAATTTGCCATAAGACTTTATGTATTCTAAAAAAAAACATAAGCCGTGGAAGTAGTAAGAGTCAAAAAGAACAAGTAAAATGATCGAGCAGCCTCAAAATTCAAAGTTTCGAAATACCGATACTGCATGCAATCGCCATTTCGCCTGCGAACAGTAGATATTACAAATTCTATGACTTAAAAAGGGATGACCGCAACAGTGATCTGTTAACGGGGCAATAATTGAGCGAGAAAGATGGTTTTTTTCTTAATATCCTCGATTAAGAAAAAACCATCTTTTTCGCAGGTTTAGGTATACATTTACTATCAGGTGGACTATGTGCTCATTTGTCACACATTCATGAGACCGTTAGGCTGCGTTTCCACCAGAGATGTGCGGGGATATGCATAGCGAGGGATGTGTTTGTTAAGAACGAATAGAATCACTTCATTTACCTAGCCTCGCTCAGCGCAGTTCTAAGGAAAACGGCTCAACGGAGCGAGGTTTTCATATATACAAAACAATGGAAGGATGTGTGCGAGGCATGTGTGCTAATCCTGACCATCTCGCAACCCTAATTGACAATCGCAATACCAGATGCCTAGCACTTTTAACGTTGGTGCTCGTCACCGGTCTCCCATCGTAGATAAGATAGACTATTATTTAATGAATGAATGAGACAGGATAATTATATCGCAATCTATCGAAACCCATGAAATCTATTTTGCATTTCCTATAGTCGCTTCTTACGACGCTCACAGGGGGAAATGGTGTGATGGATTCCACACGGCCGTCTTATAAAGCTTATGCTAGATTCACTGCTCGACCCAAGGTGAGCGTACATCCATCGAACGACGATATCAAGAAAAACGTATGAAGACCCGCACCGCTGATGAATGGCTACGTACGTACAACTATATTGCCTGACGCGGACCATCGGTCAAGCTCATCGGTCTGGCGTCGTTCGATCGACACATTTAGTGCAACGCTAAGTTTGCTATCAGCTAAGCCCTAGACATTTGGCCACGAGACGATACGACAGGCGATCAGAGCGTACGATCAACGTGAAACGTACGCACTGGTCGGTCGAACACTAAATCAGCCTGGATTTTTTTTTAAAGAAGTCGTGCGAGTACATCTTTTCTGATGGTGGCGGGAACTTGACTGCCGGCAAATTGCTGCTCCTTTATATCGTTTAAATATTGGTTTAAAGTGGATTTTGATACGTAAAAGTGGCGCGATTTTGCATATAAAATGTCAGCAAATGTTAACTATTAGTGGGATGTAACAAGTGCTTCTATGGTGATATAAATCTCTGCTTTTAGGGTTCCGTACCCGAAGGGTAACCAACGGGACCCTATTACTAAACCTCCGCTGTCCGTCCCTCCGTCGTCTCATGATCTGTAATAGGTAGACAGTTGAAATTTTCACAGAATGTGTATTTCTGTTGACGCTATAACAACAAATAATAAAAATAAATAAAAAATTAAAGGGGACTACTCTACTAGAAACATGTAGGTATTACAATGGTATGGAACCTTTCATACGTGAGTCCAACTCACACTTGGCCGGTTATTTATATCCGCTTAGCAACGTTGAGAAGTTATCGTCATCAATCGTCCGCTGGTAACGCGCATGCCGCATCAGAATATTGTAATTTTTTTGTGAACAAAATACAAATCTAGACTAGGCTGTATGGTATGAGACCATTGCCTGGTTTATTTGGCGAATCGTAACAACAAACCTTGTCGGGCGGGCAGTCCCGCAGCGCGCGCGCGGCCGCCACGACGGCGTCCTCCCAGTCCACGGGCGTGAGGTTGCCGCGGCTGTCCGCCATCAGCGGCGTCACCAGCCGCTGCCGCTTCAGCCCGTCACACGCGAATCGCGACTTATCCGACAGCCACTCCTCGTTGATCTCCTGCTCACACACACCTCACTGAAATTCTTCGATATTTTTTAAACTAATTGCCACCACACACCAAGAATTTTACGTGTATCGTATCATAAAATTATACGTTTTACATAGATAACTAGTCTAAATATTATAATCCACACTTATTTAAAAAGGATGATGACGCATCTTGCTCTGATCTAGATCATGATGCATATCCGTTCAGACTGCATAATCACACAAAAACAGGAAGCCCTCACAGAATAATTATTTGTGGGCAACATTGGATTCTCGCATGGAATAAATAATAAATATTCGTTTAATGCGGGTAGTTTTGTGATCTGGTTCTTTTCTGTCCAGGAGTCCATATGGTTAGGAACCGCCGTCTTATCTACTTCTGCCGCTAAAAGCAATGCTTGAATTGTGTTCTTGCCTGAAGAGTACATAGAGCCAATATAATGACAAGCTGTGAGGCATTCCATCTTAGATTGAAATAGCATCCGCAACCTTCTTTGTGTGAAATTGGCTGCTGGTATCCATGGACTACAGTAGCCACTTACCTTTAGATGTATAAATTTGTTTTTCACTGTAATTTTATTTAAAAAATGAATAAAATCCATACATCCTTACCTCGTTAGTTCTCGGGAGAATACGCAGGACTTCATTTGTTCGTGTCGATACGACGATGTTGCTACCCAAGGGATCTAAAACGTCCACAGAATCGATCTAGGAAATAAATAAAGTATAGTACGCATTGAAAACTGTTTCCATTAATTTTATATTCAATATTTCATTTATGTACTCACTCTCCTAGTTTCCCAAGGCCGAGCGGCGAAACTGTACGGCTTCGACGTCAAAGCGCCTACAGGGCACAAGTCGATGATATTGCCTGATAACTCCGACAGGAACATTTTTTCGACATATGTTCCGACCTTTAATCAATTTCTAATTTTATAATCTCATTACATAATAGATTTTAGTTAATGCAATGAGGAAAATATATCACTAGTTATTTTGTGTTAGCCTTTAAAATAGTGGTTCTTAATCTTAACCATTGGACCAACATATAAAAACATAAAAGGTTCCCAAATTAATTAAAAATAACTAGTAATAAATATATCTATTTAATTTTCCAATATATTCATAAATTTCTACATTTAGCAGTAAGATTTGATTAAGTTTCCAATGCATCTGAGTATTTACGTAATTTGACTCACTAGGATTCACAAGGACTCACTAGGGTCATGAGATTCATGGACAGTCGTATTTGGGGTCGTCAGCTTATGAATTGTGATCTTTTCTTTAAAAGGTGTAATAGCTAAGAACCACTCATTATAAGGAAAAGATCATAATTTCCAAGTCTCTTTTTTAATTATGTAATAGGTAAAGAGCATACTTTATATATTCTAGCACAAATGTGGTGACAAATACAGCCAAGCAGAGAAGAAAAATATCATTATTTATTAAATATTTATTATGAAAGTTTACGTGAAAGAGTGGCCTCTTCAGAAGGCAACTGAAACAAGAGACAGGCAGCAGCGTCTAAAAGCAGCAAAAGTGTGGTTGCAAGCTGTTGGCTCTATGTAGCAATCTACGGGGGCGGCTCATGTTCAGCAATGGGCCTTTGATAGGCTGTATTGAATTAATTAATTAATAAAATTACTGTTTCAGTTGATAGGAAATAACTCCTATTTAATAGATCCTTTTTGCTTATTAAGGCAATTGCTTACCTGCATGTCTGTACCTCTGCCGGTGGTACCAAGATCATCAACGCCAGCCACTTCTGAAGCAAAGCGAATACACCGAGTGCAGTGAATGCAGCGTGTCATTATAGTTTTGATCAGAGGTCCGACATCCTTATCTTCCACAGCCCTGTTCAATTTTAAGCCTTAAGTAAACATCCACTATTGTAAATACTAATAACCTGCCTCGTACCCATACTTCATGATTGCTGGTAACAAAAATGGCAGTCTCGATCCGACAGCTGGTAGATTTCATTAATTGTTACTACTTAAGGTCAGAACAGTTAATATCAAAAAATAATAAAATGTATGGTGGTGGCGCAAGTCAATTCCTCAATTTCTTTCCATGGGTAATTGTTATGTCATATATTGTAATAAATAGTTATGAAGGTGGGTACTTGCATAACATTGTTAAGAAATAATGTTAGTTAAGTCAACCAGTTTGTCATTAGTTTTGCTACCTAGCACAATACACATATTTACCTAAATTAAGGTGTTTTATTCGATCTAACAGGTATTATTAGAGGCAACTATAGGAAAATCCAGAAAAATCTTGACTTCCTATAGATGATGGTATAAACATCTAGTTAACTCCAAACATAAAATGTCCAAATTGGTGAGGGGCAGCAGGTTAAAGATGAAGGATGTCTGGTACTGATAGAGTCTGATACTCAATAGAAGAAAAAAAAAGAAGAATAAAATATTATTGAGTTTTTAAATATTGCTACAAATGCAGGTAGTAATCTTCATAATCCCTTATTTGCTAAATGATAATATCGAAAGTAATATATCTAAGCAATAACAATAATTGTTTAATTACTTTAATTTAGAAACAAAAACCAATAATTACATTAATTTAAAACAAGAAACCAATAAATTTGTGTTGTAAGATGAAAACAGCTGCGTTGTGCAGTAAATTAATTTAAAAATGACTAGTATTACCAATGGTCAAAACTCAACCAATTGTATTTGTAAAGTAAGGAAATTCAACAAGCACAGGGATGTTTAATTAGCCATGTACATGATTGAAATACTTTTAGTTAAATAGTAAAAACATTTTGTAAAAAAAAATGTGTATTTATGTTATTTTATATTATTATGATATTTTTTTGCACATCTATGACACAGTACTTTTCAAATGATTTAAGTTTCATTCACCTCCCTTTGTAATAAATTATAGTACAAAATATATGACAATTTATAAATTAATTTAATTTTAATATATTCAATGATTTTGAATGTTCACAAATTAATAATACAATGATTATTTATGGCAAGTTAGTTGAAGTTTGCTTTTAGAAAGCAATTTAAGTTAATACTTTAGAGATTGAAACTTCTAGTGTAGTTACTAGATAATATAATATATTCAACAGTTCTTATATTAAAAAAAATCTGTTATGTGCTTCATATATTCATATGCTTCAGAAGTTTTTGTCATGGTGGATATGGACAATATTTCGTGTCAGAGCAAGAAAGGCAGCAGTGTTGTCTTTGTTTTATTCTTTATCTTTCTAACAATGTTAACACAAAAATTGCCCAAATTCAAGAAAAACATTATTTGAAATTAAAATCAAACAAAAATGTTCTTTCTGAGAATTCCAGATCTAAAATATCAACATCAAGTCCAAATGAAGAAGTTTTGTTGACTTAAATAAAACATACTGTACAATAATCTGTTAGTTAAGTCCCACATGAGCATGATTCAAACTTGGTTTTAAGTCAATGTGTACTATAAAATATTTTATAAACACACAAATAGCTTTTAAATTATTAATTTTACCATAATTAGATACTAAAACTTCTTATACTACAAGTTATGTTTGCAATTAAAAGAGATTACCTTTTTCCAGAGAAATGAATATCAGTGAATCGACTCTTGTCCGAACCAAATGCCATGGATTGATCTTGTAAGTCACACTCCCCACCCTGATCACAAATTGGACAATCCAATGGGTGATTCACAAGAAGAAACTCCATCACACCCTCGCGAGCTTTTCTAGTCAGATCTGAATTGGTCTTCACTCTCATGCCTTTCATGACTGGCATTGCACAAGCTGCCACCGGCTTTGGAGATTTCTCCACCTCAACAAGGCACATTCTGCAGTTGCCAGCAACTGCCAGTCGTTCATGATAACAGAACCTTGGTATTTCAACACCAACCTGTGCAGCTGCCTAGTAAAGACAGAAAGAAGAAAATTCAAATAACTACTGTTCTACTATTTCTGCATAGCACTCTCCTGTTTGAATTGATTTGTTTTTCTAAACCATCTATGTCAATATAATAGATTAGAAAAATACTTGATATTCAAGAAAGCTGTAATTTTATAGTAGACATAGACATAGACATAGACATGCATTTATTCAGCAACATACACTCATACAGTTTTGATACAGAAAATAAAATAAAACATAAAAACATCAAAGAAAAAAGTAAATAACAAAAAACAGTCATAAAATGATCCGATTGCATGAGTGATGTGGTGCTGAAAAGGGCACTGACTCAACGTAATGCTATCGCAGGATTGCGGTAGCGTTGGTTTTCAGCAATGCCCATTGAGGTTGGACTCGCCCGCGAGGATAGTATGTTCGCTTTATTTCTATTTTCGAGAAAGATGTTATCAAAATAATAAAATAAAATAATGGAAACAAAAAAGAATGGGAACTTTATTTATGCAGTAGGTATATATAAATGTATATAATAAATAATATAATGAGTATATACAATAAAACAATATAGATATTTATATAATACTATGAAAATATAATGCAGCTATTTTATCCGCCCTAAATATTAAAGTGACAAAAATATTCTTTTAGTTTTACCTTGAAAAGGCTGATGGTATTTAGTTGGCGGATAGGTGGGGGCAAGTTGTTCCAGCATTTAGTAGCTGCATATCGGAAACTACCGCGGAATGCTGCCGTTGTGTGTTTTGGTACTGAAAGGACATTTGATTTTGTTCGAATGTCCTTGAAATTACCATCCTTGCGCCATTTTAGTTTTTCTAATAGATACTCGTTTTTTGTTTTGAAAGACACCGAACATTAGTGTTGCTAAATGTAGTGCTCTTAATTGGGACATTCTTAATAACTTCGATTTATTTAAAAAGGGACTGACGTGAGTTCGTGGGGGTATGTGGTGTATATACCTGGCACAAGCATTTTGGATCCTCTGAATTATTCGATCAGTTTTCGAAAGTAGCCTTGGTCCATATACCGTATCGGCATAGTTTAGCCTGGAGAGTACAAGGGAGTTGCAAAGCTTAACGCGCAGATCTTCACTCAAAAAGTCACGTATTCGGTATAATACTTTTAGTCTGTAAAAGCAATTACGTGTGATCTCTATCACGTGTCTCTCAAAGCGAAGCGCGTCATCCATCAGCAACCCCAGATTCTTAGCTTCAGTCACACGATTTATCTTCTCCCCGAGGACACACAGATCAGGATTATTTGCAACTATTCTATTTATCTGTCGCTTTGATCCCAATACTATGTATTTTGATTTGGCTGGATTAAGTACAAGAGTGTTGGCTTCTGACCACTGGGCGATTTTCGTTAGATCTCTATTTAAGTTATTAACAGCCCAGTTAGTTTGACTTGGTACAAAGGAAAGATATACCTGCAAATCGTCTGCATACATATGATATTTACAGTTCTGAATGGCTGTACTAATATCTGCTATATATAGTATGAATAAAAGAGGGCCTAGTATGGATCCTTGGGGAACTCCTCTCGTTACAGGACAAGGACTTGATAAAGAATGTGTACCATCTTTTTTAATTATTTTAACCAACTGCATGCGATCATTTAGATAACTGGAGAACCACTTGATTGCGGTCGGATCGAATCCATAATAGGAAAGCTTGGACAGTACTAGTAGAAAGTTTCTAGATTTTTAATCAAATCTATTATTTTTATTAAACCTATGGGTTAAAATTACCTGCAGGACAGTAGTGCCTGGTGGAACATAAACAGGCTTGTCATCAATGAATACTTCTACTTTGTCAGGTTGAGGAGCAATCTCAGCGTAACGACGAACAGCTAGCGGTGCCGCTCGTGCTGGAGAGCTAAGCGCAAGCGCCCTTGTCAGCGGCTGGCGCAGCATCGTCTGCAGCAACCCCCAATCAAAAATATACAACACAAAATGTTTACATCGAATATACTAAACAATGCCTCTTGCAGATATTTTTAATTTATAAACCTAACTTATTTATAGGTGTACTTTTAAAAAGAAAGCGTAAAATCAATAGTATAATCATAAATTATCTGTTTCTGTTATGTTATATAAGTTGAAGTACCTAACCTCAACTATATAACAAGGAATACGTTAATCAGATAAGTTAAGCTTAAATAAAAAATTTAACTGAGCTTCACTTCTTTCTTAATAAATTTTCACAATAAATTATGGTAAAAACTGTACCTAAATAATTATATGTACGAATCAAAGCAAAATTCTAAGAATGACAGTTGACAGCTGTGTAAAAAATGTCAGTATTAGGGCAAAGAGTATAGTAACTGTCCTACTCCTATAGTGTTAGGATAGCAATCCGACATCGATTAAACGAAGAATCGATTTTCAGGCCCAAATGATTGATATTTTTTTCAATCGATTTGCAGTACTGAATCGATCCAGTGAATCGATATTTCACCCTTGAAAATCGCCATTCGTTTTTTTTTCTTTTGAATATGAAGCATTAGGAAACTTAACTTTTTCAGGTAATAAATACATTTTGAAAATAAATGTCTTCTTTCATACCTGATCTGACTTTAATAAGGTATAAATATTTATTATTATCGAATTGTCTGTACTAAAAAAAAAGAATGATTTTACTGATGAGATTATTTATTATGGTATCTTGCTTGTTTTTCATAAAATGGATCTATATTTACAATACTATATATTGAACATTTAAAATTGGTTTATTACGCATTGGTGGAGTCAAGATTACGTTATAGTATCTTATTTTGGGGGGGAAGCTTTAAATATAATGTACACAAAGCCTTTGCTCTGCAAAAAAGAGCAATCAGAACCATGGTCCGGATAAAAGCACAAGAATCGTGTCGCGAACACTTCAAAAGACTTGGGATCTTGACTGTTCCATGTCTGTATATACTGGTCTTACTCACGCAATTTGCAAAAGTTATTGGCGAATATGAGACGATAGACCAAAAAACCATCAGAGAAAACACTAGAAGAAAAGACTTTCATAATAAAATTGTCCCTCGTATGGTAATGACTAGACACTGTTCTCAATATCGATCAGTACTTCTATTTAATAGACTACCTACTGACTTAAAAAATATGTTATACAAGGATAGTTTCAAAAATACCTTAAAAAAGTTCCTACTAGAAAAATGTTATTATAGTGTTGACGAATTTCTACATGCTGATACTACAATATAATCTTCAATGTTTTAAAATTTTTGATGACATTTAAAAATAATCGTAATTTTTTTTATGACATATATTGTTATTATATTTTGTGATATTTTATACTTTATTTTATTGACTGATGAGATTTGACTTCTAATTTTTATTGTAATTTCTACATACTTAATTGTAATTTTTCATAATCTAATTTTTATATTAATTGTTAAAATAATTTTAATTTAATATTGATTGTAAATTATATTTTTATTGTAATTTTATATAATTGTAAATTTTATTGTTAAACATTTTAATTGTATTTTTGCATAAATTATTCAACACAATTTGTATTGTTCAGAATTAAATAAATAAAAAATAAAAAAATAAAAATGCAAACATGAAAAAAACGGTTTTTTTATAAATCGATCTTGTAGACTTCAATTTTTTTCAGCTTACGATCACATCAGCTTACGATTCGATTTAAAAATCGATCTTTTTTGAAAAGAGTCGCCAAGCCTAGTCAGTGTCACTTCGGTTATCAGCATCAGTTAGTCACGTTCAATGTGCGTTCAATGGTCTAAAAACTTGCACTTTACTCTGTTAATATCATAATGTTTTTAAAATTCATGCAGCTAATATGATAATAAGTTTATTATTACTTTATACTTTTCAGTAACATGAAAGAATATAAACATGAAGCCTCATAAATATATTGGTATTTAAACAGAGCAATCTGATTTAACTGATTCCTACAAGTTTCCTCACTTAAATTATTAAGTTTACATTTATATTTAAGTCGAATGTTAAAATAAACTTCTATAATATATTTAATTATTAAATTTTTAATTTAAAAAAAAATAAACGTTCGTAATTGTGAAAAGTAATGCTTATACGAAAAATAAACCAGCCATTATGTACTCAAAGTCCCCTTTTTTTAGTTCCCCATCGAAACATTTTATAAAATATATCCATTTATTTATATTTACAATACGTTAAAAAAGAAATTCCGGGGAAACTGTCCATGGCAGTAAATATTTTTCTCCAAAGATAATAACTCGAATATACAACTTTCCGATCTGATTCTTGGGGTGTTTTTTTTTAAGTTTATCGTTAGTCACCTGGGATTTATTTATATTTGAATTAAAAATCCAACAAAAGGCAGGTAGGTTTAGTTTATTCCCAGAATCATGGTAAAAATGCAGTTAATTTTTGAAGTTATTCAATTTCGTGCACAAAACTATTTTTTTTTTTAACTTTTTAGCTTCCTTAACAATCATTTTTCGATATTCCTTGTATGTAAAATGTACATCACTAGGTAACGCACACAATGACAAATCAAAATTAGTCACGCGTTTTCGGGCTATCAGGTCGTCTATACGCCAGTATATTCTAAGTCTATGAAAAAAGTCACGTTTATATATTTAAAATTTTTTATTTTATAATATGGAAAAAAAGGTTTTTCGTAATATATGATTTATATTTGCGATTGGTGTCATTTGGTGAAACATCAACTTCATTCTTGTAATTTGAATAAATACTTGTACTAGTTTCACAATATTTATTTCAAATTAATAATATACTAATCGTAAAAACCGGCCGGTTTCGCTTCACGGCATCATCGGGGTATTTAAGAATAAGGTAAACTGATAATTTTTGTAATAATATCTGAGGGCTCCGTGGTGCAGTAGCTTAGTGATTAATTACGGGGCTGAGGGCTGCGGGTTCACATCCCGCACGGAACAAGTATTTCTATGACTTACAAGTAATTGTTCCAGATCTGGATGTTTGTATTTGTGCAATTTATGAATGTAATCTGCCTGCATCTACATTGTATCTATAAGAGAGAATCCTCGTGTGAAGGTAATGAAATTTTTAAAGAATAAAGATAAAGAAAAATAAGACTACGCCTTGTCCATTCTTGCTCACCTGTTTTCTTAGCAAAAATTCATGTGAAAGATGGTTCTTTGTGCGAGTGTAGCCTAGATGGGAGTATTCTGGAGCACACATTCTTTGAGTGTGCACAGTCCCTTTAAATATGATATCTCACCTTCTTAAATTCAACTCCCAGTAAATGATCCCTTTTTTAACCTGAATAAATATGACTTTTGCTAATACCCTTGCAAATTTTCTAATAATAAAAACTTTAAATAATAATAACATAAAATTATAGGTATGTATTATTCTTTATAATATAGTGGCGTCAAGTTTAATGTCTGTATTATATTTAAGAAGGTGAGATATCATATTTATACCGTGTAGTGGCGGTTAAGAATATCCACTACCCCATAACTTCCCGTGGGTGTCGTAAAAGGCGACAAAGGGAAACAGGCAGGAGATGGGCAGCAGCATCTTCCTGGTAACGGCAAAATACAATAAAAAACTGCGATTGCCAACCCGCTCGCCAAGCGTGGCAACTATGGCAATATACCCCCCATGATGAAAGTTACGAAGAGACGGCCCCCAGTCCCCGGCGGCCCCGCTATTACTGGCTACGGTGGCGACCATGGTAACGGCGGGGCAGGGGGTGCTAAGAATCTCCGGTGGAGGTTCGGTTGCCACCTACGACGACTCGACCTGGCAACATACAACGCACGCACCCTGAGAACTAACGAGAAGATTGTGGAGCTGGAAGAAGAGATAGACAAGTTACGCTGACATATTATAGGATTATCCGAAGTCCGAAGAGAGGGGGAGGACACGGTAATCCTCGTATCCGGCAACTTGCTCTATTACCGGGAGGGCGACCATCTGGCCCAAGGAGGTGTCGGATTTATCGTCCACAAGTCTCTCGTTAACAACGTTGTAAAGATTGAGTGTGTCGACGAGGGTTCCATACCTTATACTCAGAATCACCAAACGGTATTCGCTGAAGGTCATACAGGTTTACGCACCAACCTCGGCACACCCCGATCAGGAGGTGGAGGAAATGTATGAGGATATCTCTAGAGCCATGCATTCCTCCAAAACCCAATATACGGTGTTAATGGGAGACTTCAATGCAAAACTAGGCACAAGAGAGAACGGTGAGCTGAAAGTGGGGAAATTTGGAATAGAGCAACGGAACCCAAGGGGCCAGCAGCTGGCCGACTTCATGGAGAAAGAGGGACTCTTTATGATGAACTCTTTCTTCCAGAAGCGGCCCCACAGGAAGTGGACCTGGTCGAGCCCCGACGGTTCGACAAAAAATGAGATTGACTTCATTATGACGACCAGACGACAACTGTTCAGTGATGTCTCTGTGATCGCGAGGGTGAAAACCGGCAGCGATCACCGAATGGTTAGAGGCACACTGAACCTAAACGTTAAGTTGGAGAGGTCTCGTCTAATGAAGTCAACGCACCGTCCCCCTCGTGCTCTAATCCAAAGTCCCGAAACCTTTCAGCTCGAGTTACAAAACCGTTTTCAGTGCCTAGAAGACTGCAATGAAGTGGACGATTTGAATGACAAGCTCGTGGAAACTGTCCATGCGGTCGGAGCTAAGTTCTGCAAGACCCGCCGCAGAAGAATACATAAACTCTCCGATCACACTCTTAATCTCATGGCTGTTAGACGGGAGATGAAGCTACATTCTTCAACAGATTTGACAGCATACAGGCAACTGAACAGACAGATCTCCAAATGTATGCTGCGGGACTTACACAACTTCAATACAGCTCGTATTGAAGAAGCGATCGAGCGGAACCAAGGCTCCAAAGTCTTTGCCAGAGATCTGTCTGCCAGAAAGAGCCAACTGTCAAAGCTGAAGACCGAATGTGGCAGCATCGTTTCCGGGGCACCTGAGATTTTGAGTAAGATTGAGAGGTTCTATGGGCAGCTGTACACATCATCGTTGGAGCCGCATGCAAGTGTAAGTAACGATCCAAGAGCGAGTCTTATCCGATATTATTCCGATGATATCCCGGACGTCAGTCTGAGCGAGATTAGAATGGCTCCATCCTCGCCTGGGGCCTTGCCGTTTTTAAGGTGCTGTGGAATTACAGCGGAGCTTCTGAAAGCGGGTGGAAAACCGGTACTTGAAGTCCTTCACAAGCTCTTTAATTCCGTCCTCCATGGTGGCATTACACCGGAGGCGTGGAGCAGAAGTGCGGTGGTCTTGTTCTTCAAGAAAGGCGACAACGCTCTCTTGAAGAACTACAGACCGATTTCCCTTCTGAGCCGCGTCTACGTGCTGTTTTCGAGAGTCATTACGAATCGTCTCGCGCGCAGACTTGACGACTTCCAGCCTCCCGAACAAGCCGGTTTCCGAAAAGTCTTTAGCACCATAGACCACATACATACCCTACGGCAAATTGTACAGAAGTCCGAGGAGTACAATTTGCCACTATGTCTGGCGTATGTGGACTATGAGAAAGCCTTTGATTCCGTCGAAATTTGGGCGGTGTTACAGTCCCTTCAGCGATGCCAAGTTGATTGTCGGTATATCGAAGTGTTGAAGTGCTTGTACAGTAGGGCTACGATGGCTATACGAGTACAGAACCAGAGTACGAAACCTATCCAATTGCAGAGAGGTGTAAGACAGCGTGACGTCATATCCCCGAAACTCTTTACCGCTGCATTGGAAGATGTTTTCAAGCTTCTGGACTGGAAAGGTTACGGTATCAACATCAATGGCGAGTACATAACTCACCTTCGATTTGCCGACGATATAGTCCTTATGGCAGAATCGTTGGAGGACCTAAGCACTATGCTCAATGACCGCAATAGTGTTTCCCAACGGATAGGTCTTAGGATGAACATGGACAAAACAAAGATCATGTTTAATGTCCATGTCACACCTATGCCGGTAGTTGTTGGGAACACTAAGCTCGAAGTTGTTGACGAGTATGTTTACCTGGGACAAATAGTCCGACTAGGTAAGTCCAACTTCGACCGAGAGGTCAATCGACGGATTCAACTCGGTTGGGCAGCGTTCGGGAAATTACGGCACATCTTCTCGTCAGGTATACCTCAAAACTTGAAAACGAGACTGTACACCCAGTGCGTGTTGCCAGTGATGACATACGGAACTGAGACGTGGTCCTTCACTGCTGGCCGGATGAGGAAGCTCAAGGTCGCTCAGCGAGCTATGGAGAGGGCTATGCTCGGAGTTTCTCTGCGTGATAAACTCAGAAATGAGGATATCCGCAGTAGAACCAGAGTGACCGACATAGCCCAACGGATTAGTAAGCTGAAGTGGCAATGGGCCGGCCATATAGCTCGAAGAACCGACAACCGATGGGGAAGAAAGGTTCTCGAGTGGCAGCCTCGTACCGGCAGGCGAAGTGTAGGGCGTCCCCCCACTAAATGGAGTGACGACCTGGTAAGATATGCAAGAAGTCGATGGATGCAGGTGGCTCAGGACCGTGCTTTGTGGCATTCTTTGGGGGAGGTCTATGTTCAGCAGTGGACTGTGAAGAGCTGTAATGATAATGATTATATTTAAATCTATTTTATTTCAATATAATGACGGCTAATAATCTTATTCGCACCATATGTCGCAAGTGGGAGCTAAGGTAAGCTTATTTGTCACGCAAATTGTGTGACCATCTGCGTAACTAAACATTGACCATAAAAGCGAGCGAAGCTATAAATATATACATATATAAGCTATATATATATATATTATTCTATTTCACGATGAAGTTTTGACCTTGGTTGTTGATAGCCGTGCATATACACATTGTTAGTGTGCGTAGGCTTCAGGCACATGAGTAAAGAAATCGCACCGTACAACAAATAATGATTTAAAATAAATTATTAATTAGGTATCTATGTATTAAAAAAAAAACTATATGTACAAATGTTTTGAATGTAAGAAGTTATATTAAAAATAAATATAATAACTAATATCTAAAATTAAATTTGTTGTTATCGATAATGACGTTGCGCCCGCACAACGTGCTCACCGCCCTAACAGGGCTGAGGCTGAGCTATGATTTATGACCCCAACTCCACACACAAAATAATTTTACTATAGTTTGGGACTTGGGGCTCCCTGACTTGGACAGGTTATGCTATAAGGGGATGGCGGAGTCGAGTGAGAGAGCGAATGAGCGAAGTGAGCGAATAGAGCCCGCTATCTCCTTCGTCGTTATTTTTTAATAAACCACCCAGTAATAGGAGCCCCATGCACCATCGTGAACTACTTACAACTATTGAATAATTAACAATTAAGTTCTGTTTATGATCAAACAATCATCAATAACAATCGAACAAACGATATTTAGTAAAAATTCATTAATTGAAGGGGTAAAAGTTAACATTTAGAAGAGCTAACTTTTATTAATTTGAAATTTTATTAATTTGTTTTTTTTTTTTAAATTGAGCGAAATTTGTTTAATTAGTTATAAATAATTAAAAGGAAACACAAAATTTTTGTTTCGAACAATAACGAACAAACGATGAACAATTAATTAAAAATATAAAGAACTTTTTTTCGCGGTTAACTAATTTTTTTTTTCTAAAATAAAAGTAGGCTAAGTTACTCCTTGTGACGTCAGCTATCTGCCAGTGAAAATCTCGTCAAAATCGGTCTAACCTTTCCGGAGATTAGCCGGAACAAACACACAGACAGACGGACAGACAGAGAGACAGATAGACAAAAACTTTAAAAATTGTATTTTTGTTATTAGTACCGTATAATAAGTTCATATGCATTTAGTAAAAAGCTATAATTTTGACATTACAAACAGACACTTCAATTTTATTTGTATGTATAGATATAGATGAGTTATTCTCTTTGATTTAAGATCAAAGTACTCTATGGCCGAACTAATTTTTTCGGACATCTCTATTTTCTATCTCCTTTGTCCTTTCATTTCTTTTGCCCCTTTTGCCTTCTCGCTTATTGTAACCGGGCGTGTGTGTGGCACTTGCTCACTCAAATTTTATATATATTGAAAAAAAATGGCTTTCGGAGACGTAAAAACTGATCAAGGCATCAAGGAACTGAACACATATTTGGCTGACAAGAGTTATATATCAGGGTAAACACTTACAAAATTACACTTAGGTTATAAATTTAACACGTAACCTTTACATTTTAACCTCTACATTTAGGTGTGACAATTTTTAAAGTAAACTCCTCTTTTATTTTAGATACACACCGACTCAAGCCGATGTCAAAGTTTTCGAACAAGTAGGCAAGGCACCGGCCGCTAGCCTTCCTAATGCATTGCGTTGGTATAAGCATATCGCCTCATATTCTGTAGCTGAGCGTAAAACTTTCCCTGAAGGAGTAACTCCACTTACCGCTGGCGCTAAGACCACGACTACTGCTCCGCCTGCTAAAAAAGACGAAGATGATGACGATGATGTCGATTTATTCGGTTCTGGTGACGAAGAAGAGGTTTGTTACATTAAATCTAAAACTCCTCAAAATGTTCTCAGCTTTTATAACACTAACCAGTTACTGGTTAGTCTACATCATAGATGTGTGTATATGGTAAATGTGATAAAATACGCAGAGATGCAACATCTCTTCGCAGTGCCAGTGAGTCAAACCGACCGGAAAGAACTCTGTCGTCGACGATTCGAACCGCTCTGCGCTGGATGCGGTCAAGTGGAAGGAACTGGCACTGGGGAGCCTCTGCCCAGAGATGGGAACAGTATTCCATGTCGAACCTGCGCCTTGTAAAGTTGCAAGCGGTGTGTCAGCATGAAATACTGTCCTGCTCTGCTGAGCACGCCAAACTTTGGCCTTCCCTTCCAAGTGACCACGAAACTGCACATCACTCGATGTGTTGACAATGAGGATTCCAATACTAGCTAAGGCAACAAAGGGAGTGCCTTAAAACAAAAGATACAACAAAGGGGTTCTTTTTATCAGTAAACGCACAAACTTGTGTCTTTTGGGGATTGAACTGGACTTATATTTAGCCACCCCCAGTCCGAGACTTTATTCAATAAAGTCTCAACTTCAGACATAAGTTCACTATTACCACTACTTACCACTATTGTACGAGAAATATTGGTACGGCCAGTGTATAAAGCATCACCAGTGCCGTTGTCTGGATAGCAATGAATGGTACTGGTTTTCAATATATCATTGATATGCAGAAGAAACAGAGTTGGTCACAGCACGCAGCCTTGGGAAACACGTGGGTTAATGGGTTTGTAATCGGAGCAAACACTGTTTACTATGACCTTGATGCTCTAATCTGCAAGAAAGCTAGTGGAATAGTTTGACATAGTATGACATTTTGGTTTAAAAATGTGGAGTCCTATGATAACTTGACTACAGACCACCTATCAAATCCTAGCATAGTTATGAATCACCATTTCAAATTTCATCATTCATTTCAAAAACTAATAGGAATAAAATAATTACCACGTAATAACTTCTGAAGTTAGTGCATTTTGTTTCAGAAGCTATTTTGTAGCAATTGTTTTTGAAGTGAGTTTTTACTTTTTATTAAGTTTTATTTTTTATGCTTTTGAATAATCTAAGGAATATCAAGGTTTTTATAGATTAGGGGTGCAATAGAACAGTTTAGCTGATGGTATGTGGATTCTGTGGCCTATAGATACCTACATTTATGTGTACGGATTCTTTATTCAATGTGTGGACATTGAATACTTGTTGTCTCTAAATAACTTTGTTAACAATAGAAATATATTGTGGAAATAGGATCTCAACTGGTCAAGCCTGTCAGAAGTTCACAATCACTAAGAGATATGCACCAACTATTATAATATATTGGTGTATTGTGAACAATTATATACTGAATATATAGCTGGACAACCCTGATAGGCCATTTTCCCATAGGTTCACTCTGAATGCAAGCCGGGCTTTACAGTAAATGTACAAAAGTTGTTAATAACTCTACCAAAATGTCACCACCTATCAGGTCCACATTTCATGATTTTCTTTATTTGCACTCAACCAGCATATATAGTGAATATGACTAATTTTGTTAATGACTTGACTGCACTGCCACATATTGCATCTTAGCATAGATATGAACCATTATCTCATATCCTATTATTATATGAATATGATCTGAATCTTTTATACGTGGTAGAGCCATGCTGCAGCTATATTAGTGGTATAGTTGTAGCACAAATGGGTTGGCTCGACCGGGGAAGTACCACGCTCTCACAGGAAACCTGCGTAAAATAGCAGCTTAACGCTGCTGTGTTTCGTATGGTGAGTGTCTACACACCTCTTTGTCAGTAAAAAGGGTCTCCGGTTCTCTAGAACCGGAGACCCTTTTTGCTGGCAAAGAGGCATTCCATCTTAGTCCTCACGGGTGACAACGCATCTGCATCTTGAGTCTTTATTGAGGATAGATGTAGATGTCTATGGGTCGCAGTGGCCACTTACCATCAGTTGGACTGTGTGCACGTTTGTCACCCTATCCTATAAAAAAAAAAATCAATCTCAGATGTATGATCACTAACAGATGCACCAATGATTATCTATATTATAAAGATTTTGGAAGTATAATCTATTCAGAAGATTAATGGATTTGGTTTCTAATTGACTTCAAAAAACTGACTGTATGTTTTTTAATATGTGTTACCTGAGATCTTTTTTATAGTTGAACCAATTTTGAGGATTCTTTTTTATTCGAAAGCTGGTGCTTCGCATGTGGTCCCATATAAATTTGATCAAGATCTGATTAGTTTTTGAGTTAATAATGCGTATTTAAGTGACTGACTACATTGATGTTCTCATTTTATTTAATATTGAAATTGGTTGTACATTTTTAATTTTGCCAAAAAAAATATAACTAATTTGCATTACTAAATCAATTTTAACTATTTTAGGATGCTGAAGCAGCCAGAATTCGTGAAGAACGTTTAAAGGCTTATGCAGACAAGAAGTCGAAAAAACCAGCCCTTATAGCAAAATCTTCTATCATCCTTGATGTAAAACCATGGGATGATGAGACAGATATGAAGGAAATGGAAAAACTTGTTCGCACCATTGAAATGGATGGTCTCCTGTGGGGTGCCTCCAAGCTTGTTCCTGTAGGGTATGGTATCAACAAACTACAAATTATGTGTGTTATTGAAGATGACAAGGTATCTGTGGATCTTTTGACTGAGAAAATCCAGGAATTCGAAGACTTTGTCCAGTCTGTTGATATTGCTGCATTCAACAAGATTTAAATGCTGCCATTATAATATTAAGTTATCTTTTCAATAAAATCACAAATTTGTATATATTAATTTTATTTTACACATATAAAAACCTTTTCGATCTTAAAGAGTATTAACAAAGCCTAATTAAATAAACAATTAAGAAGCCACACATAAATAATATCAGTGTTTTTAATGTCTTTGCCACAATAATATATTATCACATGAAATCATCACATACTACTCACACAACGTTGCTGTGCCAAGCGTCAGACCATTTTAAGACACTACTCAATGACTAGTAAATGTTTTCACAGTATTATTACTACTCATTCAACTTGAACACTCTTTGGAATATTCTCACCAACATTGGCTTGCAAGAACATGTTAGGAATATCACTCCCAAAGTAAATTTTATTATTTAGTGCTAGAGCCTCATACTTCTTCAATTCCAAATATTCTTTTGTCAAAAGTAGCTTGTTTGCCTCTGCTTGTTTTTTCAGGTGATAAAAGTCTGCTTCAGCTTTGGTCTGCTGCTTTGCTCTGTGAATGTTATCTTCTATTAATTCCATTTTCTGTAAAGACTCTTTTTCCATAATTTTCTGTTCATAATGAATTTTTGCAACATGTGCCTCCTTTTCTGCTTCAATGACTGCCTTGCGACGTGCAGTTTCAGCTTCTTTCTCTACAACCTGTTAACATAGATTTTTAGGTGTATAAAACAAGACAGACATAAATTTTAATATTTTATTACAATTTATTATCACTTTCAATAATTAATATCATAAATTTGCATTTTAATATTAATTAAAAGTGATAATAAATTTGGTATTTAGCATATCTGTAGCATTCTGTAGTTGCCCGTCACAATATGTGGGCTTTCTTGATAATTTATTTACTTATTGGGTCTACTAGCGATTTTACAATACATTATATGTTACATACATTTCTTAAAGTATTTATATTACTTGCACAGAGTATGTAAAATCATTTAAAGGTAAGCACTACATGCTATTTTTGCTAGTATTACTGTATAAATCTGAAAGTGAGTTAATAACAAAAACAAACAAAACAAATACAATAGTAATTTTGGTAAACGCCTGTAAAACCTTGTCAAATTAAACAGTTTTAAAAGAGCTTTAATCAAACTAATAATTAGTTTTTCAATTAAAATTACAACTAAATTTAACAATTATCATAATCTAACCCAACTAAATATATATTATAAGAAACTTAACCCATATCTTCCCAACACTATAAACTCTTATCCGATTTTTTTAATTTTTACATATGATTATACTATAAGGCAAAGTAACATATTTAAACAATTAAAAAAAATATCGGTCATTGACCTTCTGAATTACAATACCGATCCATTAATGGAACACTGGGAACATGTGCTAATGTATTTTCTTTGTAGATAGAAAGTAAAGAAGACCAAATAAAAGCTTGATAAGAAGTAGTTTAGATAAATTTATTAAAAAAATATTTTAAATGTTTTAATATTACGGGATCGTATGAAATACTTCCGAGCATTTAGCATGCAAAGCAACCGCACATTTGCCACATTTTTTCGTAGTATTTTTATGACATAATCCACATCGGCTCTGCTTGCCGTTATCCACCATGTAGTGGTCCTTTCGATCTAATCGAATGCTTGAAGGGACCCGTTTTATGACAGCTAATGAAGATTTGGGTACATACTTCGCTTTTGTTAACGTGCCATTGGATGATGCGCTGCTATTTGTCACAGATTTTGTCATAAAGTACGACTGCACCACATACCTGGTGAAGGACAATAGGTCATGGGAATCTTTTTCCTTAGCACTTGGCGACATCCTGTATAGCTGGTAAGCATTATTTATACTTACGTTGAGAGGAAACATGAGTAGTTGCCAGTACCATCTCTTCAACCTTATGCCAATTCTATAACAGCCAACATTTTGATCTAATCGATCGACACCTCCCATATACTTGTTATAATTTATGAAACAGCGTGGCTGGTCCACTTCTTTCTTCTGTTTATCGCACCATCTTTTTACTTTGCCTACTGGTCCCACTCCACATTCAGTTGACGCAATTGTTACGATATTGTTATCGTTGTATCTTACTAATGTAATATCTGATGACACATCTGTGGTTTGATTGTATGAACCTCTTTTCATTTTTTTCATGTCTTTTGAATCTTTTAGCGGAGCATTTTCTACTCTATTTCCCCGGATGGTTCCAGTGGCGTCGTGTCCTAATGATTTTATTTCCGCCAACAAAGGTATTGAGGTAAAAAAATTGTCCATACACACTCAGGATGACTGGCTGACTAGGTTACTGATAATTAATTTACGAAAGGCGTTAGGCAAATTAATGTTGATGTGAATTAACTGACTGAATTTATTATATATTTTACATAAACGAGGGATCGTGCGCCGAAGACTGTTCTGGTGCGTGGAAGCACGACCGGAGTAATAGCTGTATGTGGATATCTCTGTGGTACTCGAAAATTAATTTTACTTAATAAACGGGTGTAACAATTCTCTTCTTTGGTCAAGAGTCATAATGTTAAAGTATTTTAGCCTTTTCTTATAGGACACCACCGTTTTGTAAATCTTTGCTGAAAATATATATGTGTGTAATGAAAATAATACAAACTACATCAAATCATTCACATGCCAAGTCCATACGGAGCTGGTTATAGTTGGACTATCTATCTATATATTCCCAGCAGTGCAACCCGTAAGATATATATGACCGTAGTGAACCCTCATCCCGTAAATCATCTCGAGGATCACTTGTGTAAACCAAGAGTGCCACACTGTATGGGGCTATATGATTGTATGAATACTTTGAATGAGGCCAACAATAACTACCAATTAAAAAATAAGCAAAAGTAGTAAGAAAGAAAAATATTTATTTGTTATAGTTTACATTTTCTATGGAGTTGTAAAAAAATTTTTACTAATCCAAGTGTATTTTATAAGTTGGTCGATTATTACTCATTAACTTGTTAATTCTACTTAGCTGTGATAGTTTTCCTATTCACTTCGGCTTGGTTGGTAGAGGGCAGGCACACAAGACTAATGAAAATACCACTTAAAAAGCTAAATATTTCGCAAACGGACCCCTGAATGGAAAAGATGTTCTTCCATATCCCCCAGTGTTTTTGAAAGACCTGTCCAATGTTACTCCACATGATGGTATAGACGGGTAAAAAAAATCATCCTCCATTTACCTGTATGGGGGCCCAAAATAAAAATGTTTTTAAGATTTTATTTCTCCATGTTGTAAGCGTGATCAATATCTATAACTGCCAAATTACAGATTTGTAGCATCTAGGGTCTGAGTAAAATTGCGGATGGACGTATGGTGATGGTGAAACTATAAGGGTTGTTTGTTTAACTACAGAACCCTAAAAACAAACTAAATCAAACTTTGAAGTAAATTTAAAACATCTATTTCTAATATTCAAAATCATCATACCTTCTGATGCTGAGCTGCAATAAGAAGTTTCGATTTTTCTGACTCCATAAGTTCATAATTTTTTCTTATGGCTTCAGGAATCTTTGGTTTAGTGACCCGCACCGCCTGCACTCTCAAGCCTGGTGCCATTTCATTGAGGTCTTTTTGTAAAGCCTAAAAATTATTAATTAAGCTTAGATTTTGCTGAGCATTTGCTAGTAGGTGGTTTTAAAAATGTACTGTTATTGATTGTTCATTATGTTTCAGTAAACAAAGAAACATTTTTTAACTATTAATTAATGTACACTAGTTAAAGGTAAAGTCTTAAAATACAATTGAAATTCACTTTTATAACACCACAAAGATAATATTTAAATTAATAAACTGATGAGTAATTTTTCAATGACATCGGCAACTTCAAAAGACCATTCCATCAATTACAAAATAGAAATATGTTACTATTACAAATAGTATGTTTACTACATACAAATAATTGGAACATTATTATTTCTGTTATTAATAGGTATAATATATTAAGTATAACAAGGTGTTGTGTTCAAACAAAGAATAAATAAAGTAATACCCACTGTCCGCAAATTTTCATCTATTTGGTCAAAGAGATCAATGTAAACTTCATGAAGAGAGTGAGCACTGCAGAACTGATTTAACTCATGATGCACTTTGTTGAATATGAGTGTCTTGTCATAGTCTGCGGTAAAGTTTCGAACCACATCTAATACTGGAATTAAATAATAATAATTTTCTTAAACTCATATTCTCATGCTATTATAATATATTCTTTAATTTTTATATCTTTAACAAAAATATATATTAAAAAAATTTAAGACAAATAAAGAAAATGGGTACAAGCAGGGATGTGTCATCTTTTTTGCTGTATGTAGTGTAAATGTAGTGCACCCCTCTGATTGACACAATGTTCTAGTGGACTGTCGAAAATCTAGCCAAAAACACCGAATCCAAATTTTATTTGACAGTTAATTGAAAGCAGTTTAAAGGTATTGGTTCTGTACTTAGGCTCCCACATGCATTGTATGGCAATAATAGACAATCTTGCAAGTGATGCACAACTAGAACATTCTTGTAAGAGTCAGTGTCTAACCATTACCATTACAGCCTATCAGTCTACTGCTGAATGTCACCTCCACCATAGATTTCTTTTAGATTGCATGAGATAAGTATATATGTCATAGTACCCACGCTTGGCAGGCTAGCTAGCATTTCTTGATTTGTTTCCCTCTGTCACCTCTTATGATATTGGGTAGTAGATATTATTACACCGCAACTACACGGCAAGTGTCTAACAATAGATTTAAAAAAGAAAGTTGATGTATGGTGACAGTCTACATACATCTCACTGTTAGGCACAGGCTTCTTGTTTCTGAAAGTTATGGAGAAATGAATATTATATCACTGCAATTTGTGAACTTCAAATATCCTATTCTATTCCTCAGACATGCAAAATTCCTAAGTTTTTCTTCGCCGCTGGCCACATGGTAAATCAGTACCTATCAATACAATAGCAATGACCCATATGTGGGTCACAGGACAATGCACATGTTAAAATTGTAATTAACAATTTAATTAGTGCAAGGGACTGTACCCGGTTTGCTCACATACTATGCAATTTATGGCAAAGGCTTACCTGAGCTACCACATGCTCCAATTTATACATTTGATAAAAAAATGCTTTCATTGAAATTACTATAATATAGATAAAAATATCTTGGGTTATTAGAAAATACACATTATAAAATAAATACATACCCATATTTGGTTCTAGTTTATTAACCACTTCAATTCTTTCAAAATAAATCATAACTCCTCCACTAGTACCACATGGTACATTCTTTACTTCGTCAGTCTGAAGAGTGGTCTACAACAATTATATATTACTTAGTAAGATAAGAATTATGTAAAAGTAATGTAACTTGCAATGAATGCAAAAAAGAAGGTTTCCTTAGTGTTTCTTTCCTCTCTAAGTGTGTTGTATGTATGCATTATTTCCAACTGAATATAGTAAAATATCTAATATTAACATTATCTATCTACAGAAACATTTTTACAATACTGAGAACATACACATTAAGGATCTTCTTACCTGAATAGCTTTATATGAGGTCAAAAGAGGTACCATCATATGAAAACCAGGTTGGCTAGTCACTGGGAGCAATGCGCCACCCTGTAAACATATTAAAAATATTTTAAGTATCGTAGTAGCTGGTCTGCCCACTGGGTTGGGAATGACATTCATTTTCATTATTGATTTACTAACTTGGCTATGCCCTCTGGTATATATTTATATGCCACTGGTCACCACTTTACTCACCCAACTGCACTTGTGGTAGTTAGTTAACAATTTTGTGGTCCTAATGTGAATTCAGTCATAAATTATTTACCTAATGTTCTACTCAAATCCAGAAAATTTTAAGTTATTGATACATGTAGCTACACCCCATATTGATAAATATGTTTAATAAATATATGATTTCCCATTCAAATACTTTTGATTATATTCTTTTAAATTTTTTATTTATATAATAAAAAAGTAATAATTTGGAATTACAAATAAAAAACAAATAACACACTCATGGATCAATGTTATTCGATATATTATGTTAAACACAAAGTAACTGGATTGATACAGACATTTACATTTGTGCATAACAGTCTAGTTACTGACTATGGTCATTGTAGGGAGGATTTCCATTATCTCTGCCCTTGCAGTACCTAATATCTCATATGTTTAACAGTAGTATATCTTCCATCTACGCATTGAACTATAAATCTGATTGCATATTCTTTAAAGTATTTTTTAAAGAATTAGGGTGACAAGGGTCTCCAGTTCTCTATACTCACCATGCGAAAGAAGCAGCACAAGTGGGCACTCATGCTACAACCATAATATGGCAGTGGCCATGCAGTGTGTCTCTACTACGTAAAAAAAGTCTGTCCAGCCAGGTAGTTAAAAAATATTGCACATGATACATTTACTTACCCTATAATAAACTCCTACATGACCCTCCTCTACCTTATGCAATGAAAAATGTACCGTTACTCCAACCGCTAATATAACCAGTGCTAAAACCGATGACTGATCCGCCATGGCTGGACTAGAAAACAACAATTAAACTTTTCTTAAGTTATTCAAAATTGTAATAATATAATTAAATCAGTTAAAACAATGAGGAATTCCTACCTCGACAAATCCAAAGTAAGGCTCAGTATTAGCGGTATGATGATCAATTAAAATGCAATATTGAAGAATTAAAGTAAACGTTTGAAGAAGACCCTTCTAATGTTCATAAACACAACTCTCCGCTAGGAGTAAAAGTATTCCGTTCTGTGAACACAACACAATACATTAATCACTACCAGGGACTTCCTTACATAGATAATAAATACAGATACACTATATACCAGGAACTTCCTTAGTAAAAGTAACTGAATGAAAGGGATAGGGAAAGGGCGCCAAGCCAAGCTACTTTCATTTCAGTATATCAAAAGTACTCTGTGCAAGCTACTCTACATCAAGATTCAAGACAACAGACCAAAGAGTATATATGTAACTGCAACAGACTAACATGATGCTTACGTATATCAAGACACATGACATGACATTTAAATGTACTCTGTGATTTTTGACAAACAGTGCTGACAACACTTTTGGCCTAAAGATCTAGATAAAAGCTAGATTTTATTACCAGGCCATAAACAAAGAGAATATAACCACTACGGCCATAAACTCCAAAAAAAGTGCTGCCAACATAGCCGAATTATAATAGTGCTGTAAATGTCTATCCTCGTCATAGATATAGTCACAAACTAGTAAGAAGTGCTAGCGCAGATATAGTATACACACAGAGTATACATTAGATTGGCGATGGAGTGATTAGGGTGAGACAAAAAATGAAATAGAGTAGAATAGAATAGATTTTATTCAATATTGATTTTTACATAATACTTATCAGTCATTTTTTATTTACCACTGGTTCGGAAAGTACCTCTGTCCTGGGAAGAACAAGCAAGAAACCCAGCGGCACTTTTTTTTAAAACATAATTTCACTTAACAATAATTTTGTTTAGACAATTTTAAATGAATTTTCATAGAACCAGCATGGTGGCGATCACCTTAAATCCCAGGGGTTATTTTCATTCATGTATTCCTAGATATTATAGTAACCCTTTTTGTACAGTTTTTCTTTAATAAAACTTTTAAACTTGTTTATTGATAAACTTTGAACATGTTCTGGGATTTTGTTGCAAAAGCGTATACATTGCCCCATAAACGATTTACTAATTCTGTGGAGTTTAGTAACTGGCATTACAAGCTTATGTTTGTTCCTAGTGTTTAAGGTATGAACATCCTTATTCTTATTAAAGCTATTTCTGTTTTTATGTACATACATTACATTTTCATAAATATATTGCGATGCCAAAGTTAATATGTTTATTTTTTTTTAATTTTCTCTGAAGGACTCTCTACAATTTAGGTTATAAATCGCCCGAATGGCTCTCTTTTGCAAAACAAATATAGCTTCAATATCAGTCGCATTACCCCATAGCAAAATTCCATAAGACATTACGCTATGAAAGTAACTAAAATACACTAATCTAGCTGTCTCAACATCTGTGAGACAGCTAGATTCATTCATCTCTAATATTTCTTACAGCATATGCTGCAGAACTAAGTCTGCTTGCTAATTTAGATATATGGTGGCCCCGTTGAAGTTTCGTGTAATAGTAATACCAAGAAAAACAGTGGTATCAACAAGACTCAACTCCTCCCCATTTAAGAGCACATTGGTTTTCGAATGTTTTACATAAGGTATTGTAAATTTAATACATTTTATCTTATTGCCGTTTAAGAGCAAATTGTTGGCATTAAACCAATGTACTAATTTCGATAGAGCATTATTTACATCGTCATAGCTAATTAACTGCCGGTTAAGTTTGAAAATTAAAGAGGTATCGTCAGCAAATAACTATAACGTGATAGTTCCCTATAAGATAAGGTAAGTGATTAATATAGATTAATAACAGGAATGGGCCAAGAATTGAGCCCTGAGGAACGCTCATTGATACTACCGATCTGGAGGAACCTTTACCATTGATCACGACTTTTTGAGTTCTGTTACTTAAATATGAAGTAATAAGTCTAAGCGAAATTTTTTTTACACCGTAATATTGTAGTTTCCTGAGTATACGTGTACGTAGTTTATACGTGGTAGAGCCATGCTGCAGCTATATTATGGTTGTAGCACGAATGGGTCGGCTCGACCGGGGAAAGACCACGCTCTCACAGAAAACCAGCGTAAAATAGCAGCTTAATGCTGCTGTTTCGTATGGTGAGTGTAGAGAACCGGAGACCCTTTTTACTGGCAAAGAGGCATTTCATCTTAGTCCTCACGGGTGACAACGCATCTGCATCTGGAGTCTTTATTGAGGATAGATGTAGATGTCTATGGGTCACAGTAACCACTTACCATCAGGTGGACTGTGTGCTCGTTTGTCACCAGATCCTATAAAAAAAAAGTAATGTCTCATGATGAACACAATCGAAAGCCTTGGAAAGGTCACAGAAAATGCTAAGACATCTTGTGAATTCTCCCAAGCATTAAAAATATATTTCATAAGCTCAACACCGGCATCAGACGTCGAGCGACCCCTTGTAAAACGAAATTGGTTTTTATGAAGTAATTTATTTGTATTAAAAAAAATTAACAATTGATTCAAAATAATTTTTTCAAAAATTTTACTGTGAGTTGGTAGTACAGAAATAGGTCTAAAATTAGCGGGGTCCAATGCACTACCAAATTTAAATATAGGTATTTCTTTACTATACTTCATTAAATCAGGAAACATTCCAGAATTGATACAAGTATTAAAAATAATAGCAAGATGAGGTGCAATTAAATCTATTATGGACGCAATAACTGTAACGGAAATTCCCCACAAATCTGCGGTTTTCTTTACAGTAATAGTTTTTAAGTATTATACAATATTATGCGGTAATACTTTTTCAAATCTAAATTCTTTTAAACAGGTATTAACATTCTGTTTAAGTAATGACTCGGCGACAGTTGGAGAAGTATTCAATGACTCTGTTGTCAAATAGGAACATCAGTGAAATATTTCTCAAACACCGCTGCAACTTGTTGATTTGATTTAGTCAATTCATTATTAATTTTTAATTGATAGTTTGAGTTATGAGATTTTTCTTTACCGGTTTCGCTGTTAATTATACTCCACGTTATTTTAATTTTATTCTTAGCCGTCTTAATTTTGTTACTAATATGTAACGATTTGGCTGTGGAGCAAACTCTTTTAAACATTTTAGAATAATTTTTGACATATTCTTTAAAAGCATCGGAAAGATTATATGATCTTTCATGGTAAAGGTCATATAACCTTCGTCTGATTTTATGAATACTTACTGTTGCCCACTCATTAAATGCCTTGCGACTGTTTCTGGAGAATGTTGTAAAAGTAAATGTTTTATTAAATTCATTGTTTATAAAGGTTGTAATGTAAACATATGTTTTAAAAAAATAATGATATGGGGTAAAATACAAGGATGCGATGATGAAATTTAATTTTAGATAAATATGTCGAAATGGCGCGCGGCTCGCGGTTCTAGGTACTAGGATAGAAGGCTGATAATTTGGAAATTCGTTCGGGACCAGCTACCAGTTTTACAGTTTAAATCAAGATAGAAGTAGGGAAAGTGATAGGAAAAGTAGCGAGTGTTTCAATAATTCGAATATAAGTGGGTAAATAATTCTCTATATAAATAGTCTGCATTGTTCTTATAAGAATGCGATGGAAGTTATTTTACCATATTACTTCTAAATCTCTCCAGGCGTTTTGCATTAATAGGAACAAACACAATTTTCTCAATTACCTGTTTTTTGTGCATATAAGGTAACGAAACCAGTTGTCCACAGTGATCTGAACTAAATTTTGAATTATTGATTTGTTGATTGGTACAACACCTGTAAATATATTATCAATACAAGTTGCACTACACCCTACAATACGTGTAGCTTCAAAGAATAAATTATCAAGATTATGGGATTTGAACAAAGAGCAAAACTTAATACTGATGGAAGAAGTTTCCACACACTACAAGAGATTTATTCTGTTTATTAAGCTTAACTTTGTTACCTCTTCCATAATTTTTTCGAAGGTATCATAACTTGAACATTGACTACTTTACATTGATAACTTGAACAACAGACCCCCGTCTGTAAACACTGTCAACAATAAGGTGCTCAATCTCAACACATGCCATTTCTACACTACGCTTAACAGAGAGGCTCACAATGTTTTTACGTTCGTTACATGATAAGGATTTATTAGCTAATATTAAGGAGAGGGCAAACGAGCATGCGGCTCACCTGATGGTAAGTGATGTAAGTACCGCCGCCCATGAACAACCGCAACACTAAGGGAATTTCTGATGCGTTGCCAGCCTTTTAGAAAGGTGTAAGTTCCTTTCTTGAAGGTCTCTAAGTCGTCCGGAAAAATCGCCGGAGGTAAACAATTCCACAGAGAAGTTGTACGAGGAAGAAAACTCCTAGTAAAACGCACAGTCGTGGTCCGCCAAGCATCAACATGGTGAGGATGGTATCGTGAATTTTGACACGATGTGCGTTCGTGAAATTTCGCGGCTGGAATTAATCCGAACAATTCCTCAGAGCACTCCCCGTGGTAAATTCGAAAGAAAATGCAAAGGGATGCAACATCCCTACGCAGTGCCAGTTTATCGAGACGATCAGAAAGAACTCGCTCGTCGACGATTCGAACCGCTCTGCGCTGGATGTGGTTAAGTGGAAGGAGCTGGCACTGGGGTGCCCCGGCCCAGAGATGAGAACATATTCCATGTAAGGCTGAACTTGCGCTTTGTAAAGTTGCAAGCGATGTGCCGGCATCAAATACTGTCTCGCTCTGCTGAGCACGCCAAGCTTTTTAGAGGCCAATTTGGCCTTTCCTTCCAAGTGATCACAAAACTGCGCACTATTAGATATGTCGACGCCGAGGATTTCGATGCTAGCTGAGGCAGCAAGGGGAGTGCCTTGAAACTGAGGAGACACGACAAAGGCTTTTTTTAGCGGTAAACGCGCAAACTTGTATCTTCTGGGGATTGAACTAGACTAGATTTAGTCGCCCCCCAATCTGAGACTTTGTTCAGCAAAGTCTCGACTTCAGACACAAGTTTGTCCCGGTACTTGGCGACGTTTTCCCGAGAAATATTGGCACGGCCGGTATATAAGGCATCACCAGTGCTGTCGTCTGCATAGCAAAGAATGTTACCAGTTTGCAACATATCATTGATATGCAGAAGAAACTGCGTTGGTGATAGCACGCAGCCTTGTGGAACACCGTTAATGGGCTTGCAATCGGAGCATGCACCGTCTACTATGACCTTGATGCTCCGATCTGCAAGAAAACTGGTGATCCAATTGCACAATTTCTCGCCTTCGCTATGCCCAAACTAACGACCAATGCCT